AGTCGCACTACAAAGAAAATTGTAAGCTCACGATCGCTCTGTGATCACGCAACTTGCATTGGGCACGCCTCCGTGAAGGTGGGAAACCGCCCCGCCCACTGCAAACGAAAACGCCCATTGGGCCCCTAGTGCCTTGCGCAGCCGAACCTTTGATGGCGCTAGTCTAGGCAAGGTGGGGGTCTGTGCTCAGAACTGCTATCAAGGCGCTGAAGCTGCGCTGCTGGCAAAACTTGCGCTATGCGTGATCCGCACTTCCAGGTCTCGTAATATCTGCTCTACAACTGGAAGCCGAGCTTAGCCTTTTTAGGCTCCAGGCATACAACTTTGAATGACCTACTCGCGCACTCAAAGGAGCGAACTTCTAAGACAGGGTATTGAGTATAGGCGCGAACTGAGGCGCTCTGGATCAGATTTCGACGGCTTGCAACACAACCTTTGTACAACAGTGTGGTTTTAGAGGCCGAGGGGGATTTAGGGTTCAAAGTCGATCACGTGTCACCGCGCAGATAACAAACGTACCGCGCGACAGTCTGTTTCCATCTCCATATCTTTCTATGTCACTCTCTCCTTCTCTCGTTTTCTCCTTCTTCTTCTTCCTCTACTACCCAGCGAAGAGGCGCCTGAGGGGACCCCGGCTACGACGGAACACTGCTTCTTCTCTCCTTGTTCCTCTTCTTCTTCTTCTTCTGCATTCTTCAGCAGGGCTTGGGGGCCCAGGGGACCCCTCGCGCGAGTGCGCGCCCAGTTCCGGTGCCGTCATAAAACTTCTTCTCAAAACGTCCAGCTTTGCTTGTTTCCCCTATCCCCCAAAAGTCGTCTTTCTCTCTTTTTCTCACTTCCTCGTTTTCTCTTTATCTTCTTTATGGGGCCTCATGGGGTTTGACTCACCCGGACCACCGCTCTTCGTCTCTCTTTTTTCCTGTCCGCTCTTGCCCCCCCTCCCCCCCCGATGAAGGAGCCCGCCCGAAGGCGAGCGTTACCGGGTCTGTTGGTGCGATCCTGCACGCCCTGTTGGACTTTCCTGGGGGCCTGCACTTATCCGAAACAGCAGTCACTTGGAGGTTGCAAGCCCCTGTCCCCAGTCCGATCCTCTGTGCCTGGAGTGTGGGGAACAGGACACTTCAGCCAAAAACGTTCAACTCCAGAAGTGATGTCTCTTCTTAATTTTGTTGCGTGACACGCGCCGCACTGCTGCATCCATCTTGACTGTGTGAAAAAGCACCCAGCTCGAAAGACTGCTTGTATCCTCGCCGGCAGTTCTTTGTCGCCAGTCTGAAATCGTGACAGACCTTTTAGAGAAAGCAAACCTCTGAGGGAGAGGAAGAGGAAGGGGACAGAGGAAGAGGGAGGCTTGTTACAGCGCGGCGAGGCAAGGAGGAAATACGTCTTGGCCCCGAGGCAAGCCGCAGCTTGACACTTGCTGCCAGGATGCAAAACGAGTGGATCGACAGCGTTGAGACAGCATGTCCAGATCATGCTTCTCCAAACCACCTGCTGCATGTTTGGCAGCAGCCCATCATTTTCAGTGCTGCAGATTACAATGAACTTTGACAGCAGAGAGGTTCGCAAAGTTCACAATGGGGTGTGCTCTAGATTGATCATAACTTTAGAGTCAACGATCCCGCGCATTCCGTGCAACCCTCATGAGGGCCTGTGCCGCACAAAGGCCCGAAAGTGCGGCGCAAACCAGTGCTCGTGAAGGCCTTGACGGCTCCTCGCGTGGCATCATTCGATTGGCCGAATTTCAGCAAAGCAACCAACAGCCCTGGCAGAGTCCACAGTGACGCAGACTAGCGGTCGGCGGCTCAGAAATAGCTCGCAACACGCTAAGAACAGACACAACAGACATACTATGCTAATCGTATGTTTCGTATTTGTTCGTGCTGTCAAGACGGACTTGACAGCTCCTCCGGCTTGATGGTACAGCTCCTCGACCCGTGCCAGCAGCGGCCACAGGTTGTCGCTGCTCACGGAAATGGGCATGAAGTTCTCAGCGTCCGCGTCTCCCTGTGTGTCCAGCCCAAGCAGTGCCTGGAAGGTTTCCCGCATCACTGCTGACTTCACTTCTAAGTCCACCAGAGAAGTTTGATGCCTGTGGGGCTCTGCCATATCCATGCACCGGCAAAGTTTCTCCTCACCCAGAGGCTCATCTGCGGGAAGTGCTTCATCAATGCTGATCGATGGCGAATTGTTCACCTCCAGCAAGTAAGCCTGGTAACTATGGCTGAGCATGATGTCGAAGCCCATGACTTGGAAATTTCTCATCTTGTCGGGGTTCCCCAGGTTCACATGCTGGCGATGATGGTATCTCAACACGGGGGCCATGATGGCAAGCACTCGCTGCGCAATCACCAGGACATCAGCATAGAACGCCTGCGTGTCTCACATCTCATGTGGACGGACAAGGCAGGAGACCAAACAAATCAATGTTCCTACATGGCCTCCACGTCGAAGTCGGGATGCTCGTGGCACAGCTGCTGCAAGCACACTGTCAAGGGTCGCTTTGATGCGGTGTTCGTCTCGCCATACACTTCCTCCAGAGTCTGGCCACCTCACGCGCTGGTTGATGTTGATTCTTGAAGAGATCATGCTGATGTAGTATTCTCTGCATCGCTCCCCCCCCCCCACCACCCCCGTATCCCATGCAAGCTAAGGCTGCAGCAATGCTCAAACTTGCTGCTTCGCTTGTTCAGGGAGTAGTTGGTCAAGTGTCCTGTGCTCTCGACTCTAGACCCTGGGCCGCATCTGCCCCGTGCTGTCCATCCAAGAAACTGCCAGTGATCCGTGACAAGAGCTTTCTTTGAACATCGACATTCGCAGAACACGCAACTTCAGTCTTGCCGAGGCTTGGCCGAGGGTCCCATGCACCGATGCATGTTCCGTTTCGAGGGCTGCTCGTAGGCCTCGTCAGGTTGAAGTTCGAGTTTGGCAGTGGCACCCCCGTGTCGGTCTTGCGCCCTCCAACCCTACACTGTCCCACGCTGCCCTACACAGCATACCGCAACTCCAGATCGCATGAGCTGGCGTCAGGTGGAAGGCATCTGAAAAAGGACCGGAGGCTCTTCCTTGCACAGGGACCTGAAGAACTAGTCCGTGTCAGCTTCGCTTGGGAGTGCTGCGGCCTCTGTGCAAAAGCGCGCCAAGCCCTCACGGCAGAGCCAAGCCGCCGGGGGCGCTGTGGAAGATCCCCCTGCCAAGCACACGTACCTCGTGGCGAGCAGCTAACAGGCCAGCAGTCACTTTTCGTATTCTGTGAAGCAAATTTGTTTCATCATGTTTCACCTGTCTCCACATGTCATCACCGAAGGCTCCGTTACTGACGTCCAAGGAACATGCGCAGGTCAAACTTCAGCCCATGCAAAAGTAGGGGTTTGCTGATGTACTTCTGCACCACTGCGGCTGACGCGTTCTGTGTTGACAGCTTGACGTCCAGCTGATGCAAGCCTTGAACAAGGAAGATGCCATCACCCTGCGAGCCATCTTCCGGCTTGACGATAAAGGTGCTTTTGGACTTCTCCAAAACATTCCGCAGCTGATCCAACTGCTCTGGCAAAACCCAGGTGCGTGGATTAAACCCGAAGTGGTCCTCGCCACAGAGGCACTGACACGATCTCACCATGCGTGCCAGGTTCCCCTTGTCGCACAACTCTGGGGCCCCAAGATATCGTGACACCCAGCTCTGTGGGCTCAGTTGCGGCCACCGTTTCAGCAAATCCATCGTCTGCATAACGCAGAAAATCACCGGACGCTTCCTCGCTTCCTCAGCAGTTGCTGATTCAACGTCCACTTCTCGCCACCCAAGGCCGGCAGCGACATGTGAGAACAGGTCTTTAGAATGCTTGCCCACGCAGTCAGTCGTGATGACCTCAGGCTTTGCAGTGGGTTTTGCTGGAGCCGTACATATGGTACAATGCTGCCAAGCTGGCACAAGGCATGTTTTACAGCAAGCCCTCACCTGGCTTCCATGTTCATTTTTGCTATCTTTGTTACTCATCCCGCTACTGTAGTGGTCCCAGTCACTGTGTAAGGGCCACGTGCTTTGCTTCGACATGACGAAGGGCATGGCGTGGGCATCTCCGGTAGTGGAGGTGGCGGCGGAGGCGGAGGCGGAGGCGGCGGAGGTCCGGGTTGCAGCGTCTCCTCATCCGCAGATTCCATGGCTTCCGAGAGTGTTCGTGCACGGTTTGCTCAGCTCACTGAACTTGCTTGAATCTGCTAGACGCGGGCCGGGCTGTTCGAACTAATTGCTTGCGATGAGAACCTCTGCTCGCCTAATGTGGCCTTACGTCCTTATTATGTCTTCTTCGTGCTACTTATGCTGCTGCCTCAAGCGGATAACTGGATGAATGCCAGCAATATCATAAGCAAGAAAGCAAGCTTAACAGCACGCTGCCGAATGCCATTTCATGGCTGCGTCAGCCCCGCTTGCCTTTGATCGTTCGACGCATTTTTGCGCTGGACAGGCAAGTCTACGCGCGCACAGTTCACGCAGACCGGTTGCCACGCTGCCAGATCCGTTGCCTGGAATGACTGCTGCAACTTGTACATTTGTGTGGGATTGTAAGTGTTCCCTATGAACCGCAGACTGCCTGCTCTCCGTCTGAGTCAGCGGCCGATTTAGAAGGTCTCGCCTACACTGCGCATAGCCCTGGCTCAAGGTCACAAGGATCTTCAAGGATAAAGGGATGCTAGCCGACGCACGTGCACGAGCAGTTCAAGCCTTCCGCAACCATATGCACTCCTGCGTCACGTACTCAGGATCGTTAGAGTTGAGGCACTCCTTCCAATATCAGCTTTCCATCATTCTGGCGTAAAGCAAGCTTTCCACACAACCGAGTACAAAGGACAATCTTGCTTGCAGTGAATCCTCGAAAGTTGCGCCCTCTCTGTAGCATCGGGTACCCTCGTAACATCGCAGCATGTCCTGCCGGATCAGGGTAGCTTGGATTGAAGTCAGTTCACAACTGGGGCGGTGATCTCGGATTCCCAGATTCCCGCCTCGCGAATTCGAGTACCTGGAGCAAATCCGGACGGTGAACACGGGACACGCCATTCGGCTTGGCATAAGCGCGCGGCAAGAATTGGATGGCTTTCTGTGTGGCTTTGCCGGATCGATGGCATAGGAGCCGGGAGGGAGCCACGGATCCTGCAGCGAGCAACCGCGCGGGTTCAGTTCTTTTGGATCCCGCATAGCAAAGATGCTGCAGCCACTGCTGTCGGAACACAGATGAACGCCTAGAATATGTGGAGTGCGTGCTCACATGTGCTCACCTTCTTCTGCGAGTCGCCAGCATCAGCAGAAGCCGGTGCCTTGGCAAGTTGGACAGCAAGTTCAGTGCAAACGGGGGAACTAAGAGTCCGCTGCTGGCTACAAGAAGCTACTTTCTCGTCCATGTCTGAGATGTTGGCACCCGCGCTCGCCGAGGATTGTCCCATGTTTGGGGCCCAGCAAAAGGACCTCCTACCCTCTTTCTTAAACCTTCTGAGACACGACATTCTGCTGCTTCTGTTGCGACGCCAACGAAGCTACAGCGGTAGTTGAGATCTACACTCCTCTGCCAACATCATCACCGAAGGCGTCATGGAAGTGAGCTCGCTTAGATTTGTCTCTGCGTTCGGACAATGGATGAAGATGTCATAAGATGTCATCTTGAGGCAGCTGCCCAACATGCACATTCCAGGATAGTCCGTCCCTATGCTATGGCAGAAGGCCGAGCTGAAATCACCAAGCCACAAAGCCTTAAGCGACAGAGCGTGTTTCTTGTGTCGGGTCGAAGGTCGCCGCGGATCCGGCCTACCGCATGTAGCCGCCACTGAGCGGAGGGTTGCTGCCACTGAGCAGCGGCTTTCCCCAGGCGTTTGCCTAGATTGCACAAGGCGGAAGCTGTCAAGAGGCAAAAGGATGTTCTGCGATGGGGAGCAGTAAAGCATGTATCATTGCCTCTTGATTCCCAGACATGCAGTCCTTCTGCAGACGACATCTCGTCAAACGATGGTTGGGAAACGATAAACAAGTTCATTTTTGCCAAACAAGACTCAACCTGCGACCAAGCCTGCCTTTGCCAGGCAACATTCTAGTTACCTGCCTAGTGGGTGCTGCCAGATGTCCAAGGGCCAATTGGACACTTGCTGGGTTACGCTCATCTGTCAATTTCAGGACTGCCTCTTGCATTGCTTGGGCAATGCGCTGCATCAGCACGGCGTCGGCTTGGCACTCCTAGCAGCATCACCGATGCTTGCATGCAACGTGGCGCCCCGATAAACCATGCAGGCAACGACACGCAAGTGACACGATCAACAGACAGGTGCGCAGCTTTCACTACTTCTCAAGGCACTGGACAGACATGCAGCATCTATTCAAGGATCCAGGCTGGTTCCCGCCATGTTGCTGTTTATTGCAATGAGAGGAAGCTGCCTGCTTGGCCAGGTACTGGACAATTGTGCTCTGTAGGTCTAGCTCAGCGAGTGGGTCCTTTCCTGAGGCAACTGGGACAATTTTGGGGCCTCAGGTCCGCAGATGTCGGTGAGTAAGTACTCACACTGAGCTCTCATATAACCTAAATTTTCTGAGGCCCAGAAACAATGGAAACTGAATCAAGCCTGGCCCTGCCGGCGCTCAGTGCAGTACTGAGGCAATGTACACAAGCTGCAGCTGTACACAGAACAGGCTGGGGATGGGGCGCTCCAGTTCCTGTACAAGGCACTGGAAAGCTATTGCAAGCTATTGCAAGCTAAGCGCTACGCCAACTGCATGAGCTCTTCATGCTCCTTTTTTTCTCAAGTTCTCTGAGGCATCTGCAGGATCCTGCAGGTTGCAGTCAGGCAGAGCACCGGGCTTTAGGCCAGGCAGCTTGACGAGGGGAAGGATCCGGATCCGCTCTCTGGAACTATCATGATCGCATCCTTTGTGTCTGTTTGGGATACTGGGAACCCTCAGTGTTGGGAAATTTGCCCCCAGTTGCGGAACCAGAGCCGAGACAGCGCAAACAGAACGGAGCGAAGGATACCATATTGCCACAAGGTAGCACAAGCATCTCCTTTCAGAGATCGGTACTCAAAAGTTCCCAAAAAATAGAGCGTGCCAAGTCCGAGATAAGCACCCGAACATCTGATGCGCGCTCTCATCGGGACAAGCGTACACCGCATTGCCCTGATGGCCCAGCATCGAGCCCGCTCAGTCACGATAGCTTGACATGGTTTGACTCGCTTCACCAAGGCGAAGGGGGCCGCGGTCCGCTAGGAACGTCAGCCCCTCACTTGGCATTGGTACTGGTAGATCAGACAGCTCATCCAGGTCGTTGAGTGATTTCACAAAGATTCGAGCATACATGTAGACCTGGGACCGGACATCTTTGTGAACAGAGATCAGCTCCTGCAAGGATTGGTGGCTGAGGCACAGGAGGGAGGCAGACGTCTCGGACATAGCCTTCCCAACGTAGTTCCAGGGGGTCCAGAGGCAAGCCTCGCAAAGCCAATCGCATGTCCCCAGCTGTGATGCGAACGCAGGCTGCCTTCCGTCCATTGGAAGAATGGATGCCCAAGACCGCCGTCGGAAGCTGCTTGAAGATTTTGGCTTGGGATCCATCGCAAGCTCACACGAAGCTGATGCGTGCATCCGTCGATACCAAATACTTCCACAAGCCACGATCAGCATGCTGGTGCAAGTTGGTCCGGTGGAGAAGAGGGTTTCATGGGGAGACACGCTCCAATCGGTCAAGGCCTTGTGACACAAGTCGTACTGCAAGGCCACAAACCTGCCAGCTAGCTTGCCAAAGAACTCGTGGTTTACGAGCACCGGGGAAAGAGCTTCACGGCACAACTCACGATACAGATGCTCAGGCAGCACTTTCGACATGTCTTGCTTACTTGGCGTGAGTCCAGCCTGTGTGTTCCTTCGGAAGTAGTCCCTGAGACCATTCTCCAGTTCCCAAGATACCGGGAAAGCTCCAATGTAATCTTCAACCTGATTCTTTGCTTCAGAGCGTGTCCGGTGAGCGCGGCGTATGTCAGACAGTTCATTGGTCACGATTGACGTGAACACCGAACCGATAAGAATCGCCGAGCCGGTTGCTAGCAAGGCTATGAACCTCTCCATCTGCGTGTTCAGAAGCATGTTTTCTGTCGTCCGCGATGGGGGCATGCGGGAAAGGGCCCATTCAACCGTCTTCAGATACTGTTCGGATGTGGGAAGAAGCTCCAGATTGGTTGCACCAACCCAGCCTTCTGGGTTCAAGCCCACTGCAAACCAAAGGCATGTCGTGTAGTGGAGAAACATCGTGCACCTCGGCATCACTCTCTGCTGCTTTTCCTCCTGCTCTGCCCTTCATGTGCTAAGTTTCCAACACATACTGCAGTCCGCCCTGATAAGCTGCAGGAGAGTTGCATAACCATAGTCATCAGGAACAGGCCGACGGCACGGGCTTCACGGGTGTGCTGACGGTTCCATCGGCGGACACACCTGGTCTCATCATCTAGGTCTGTAGCACTGGTAGCGGTTAGATCGGTTAGGGTCCCGGTTTGTGTGCCCACATGCACGCACTCCACACACAGATGACCAGCTTTCGAACGTGCGCACCCCTCACCCTGCCTCGGCAAGCCAGACATCGTATACAGCTTCGGAAAATGACGGAGGCGCAGTAGCTGCAAACCTCCCGATGCTCGGAACTTGGATCGGCACTTAGACTCGGCTACAGCCCTGGTTGCTGATTTGCGTTTATGCCTGACACTCCGCTTAAAACAGCACATCCCTCCAACGTCGACAACTACCCCGCTATCACACACCAGTCTGCCACAGTCGCAATCGCCTTTGAACAACGTCTGCAGCTCCGGCGGCATCGGGCTCCAGAGTTCCTCACATCGTAGGAGTTCCCCGCATTGAACTACTCTAGCAGACTTTGAGAATCTCAAGGGAACGGTGCTTGCGAATTGTTCCTTCCCATATAAGTTCTTCTGCCCTGTTTCCACATGCCCGGCAAAGACTCGGGTAGGGCTTAGGGTAAGGGACTGAGGGTCGTATGGTGTAGTGGGCAAGCAGGACAAGCGAGGCGAGTGGAGAAGCAAGCGCACTGATACATTCCAGCGCCTGTAGCCTGCGCGTCTGCTGCCTGTACGGCTCTATGCTGCGAATTCTGTTGCTTGAGAGGAGCTTCGACGAAAGCGAGCGTGCACATTGGAGGAGGCTTTAGAGGCTGTGCGGATGGGGATGTGTTGATGCAACTGACCCTTTACATTCGTAACATTTCGTCACACAAGCTGTTGTGGATCAAAATTGGTCAAAGGCGCATCCCAGGAGCCGAGCGCCCCGCAACCCAGTGGGGAAGTCACTTGTAAACAACAACGACCGCTACAGCTCCAATTGACTCGCTTTCGTGATAATGCATAAATCGAGTGCAGCAATCCACTACATGGAGAGAGCAATGTACGAGGTCGTTTCTTGCATGAACGCGTGCGCAACGTGCGCTGGCGCTTTCCGCGCCGGTGTGTTTCCGGATGGAGGGCACAGATGCAGCTGCCTGGCCTGAATGGACACTAACCCAAATATAGAGCACTTCGGCTCTTTCAAACTCTAAAATCTAAATGTTTCTGAAGAGATCCAGCCCCGCGGGTTGTCCCAAAACCTTCAGTTCTTCAGAGTCTGCAAGCTGGTGCAAACACTCAATCATGAATCCAGCAGTGGAAGATGTGGTCAAAATGAACCTCTTGGAAGGGACTTTTTGCGAATGCGCAGCAGAAGGGTTCCTGTTTCAGAGGTTGGGGGTCTGGGCACACGAGGCCTTTGACCAAATAGATAAGCTTTGTCTCCTCTTGCGTTTTGGTATCAAAGGTGGCAGCCGCCACAGGAATCCGACGTGTCGGGGTCGATCCTCGGAATTCACTGTTGTTTGCTTTGAGCCTGGGCTTGTCTTTGTGTCTCAAGAGTGTCAACAGTCATCATCGAAAATATTCCCATCTCAAAAGTCGTTTACGGTAAATTTTGACCTTGCCATACAGCTCAGCAGGGCCAACTTTTCCGCATTAAAAATGTAGAAAGCTTGGAAAGTGCAGGATCCTTGAAGATGGTACTTTAAAGAACATGTTTACACGTTAGACGCTAAGCATGCTTCCTAACAAAGACGCTCTCAAATCTCGCAATTCTATCGTCCCGGAGATATTTGGCTCCGACGAGCTTCGGCAAGGATCTAAATGTTCATAATATGTCAACTCTACTGAGATAACAGAAGTTTCTATGAGACAAGAAACACCGTGGTGTCGGAGCTTAAGGCTTCAGATTTGAAATGCATTCGTAAATGTTCATCATCTTGCATGAAGGCCAAACATAATTTGTTACAGGTGAGGATGCTGAACATCGTAAAGTTGTGAATTGATATTTTACTATGCTTCGATCGGGATGACTCCAGCAGAAGTGCCAATGACAGCCCAAGTCGCACGCTTCAAACAGCGTGGGATAAGAAGGTCATGAAGCTCAGCCTCACGGTACATGCCGTACACCCTAGGTTGGAACCAGTGGTAGCTTCACTGGAGAAAGCTTTCCTTGCCCAAGGCGAAAGCATGTCCAAGCCCCGCACGGGGGGGGCTTGGAAAACTGCAGCTCCAAAAGGCTAAGAGATGGTGCGCATGCTGGAGGAATGAGACCGCTTGAACTCAGTGAGGGGCGAAGGCATGATGTCGTAGCCTGCTCGTGCGTGTGTGTGTGTGTGTGTGTGTGTGTGTGTGTGTGTGTGTGTGTGGTTCCTTTTGTACTGAAGGGTGGCGCATGCTTCTGACGGGCGTTACCGGCCCATTTCGGGGTCTGGGGGTCTGAAGAGGCCCCGGGTCAGCGAAGATTGTGGACGATCTGATGCCGCGAGGACATCTTCAGCTTTGTGTAGACTAACACTGAAAGCATGCAGCTTCAAATTGCACTTTTCTTTTTTCTCAAGGGTAGTGAGTAGCATGTTCTGTATAATATTGCTTGGAATACCCGAAAAATGTTGGGAAATAGGCCATAAAGGTCATATCATCTGTATGGATGATCCGAGCAAACGGTTTAGCCCGAGTATTCCTGGGAAAACACCCCTTCAAGGTGCAGTAACGCCTTTAGTTGCCTTTCGAGGACTTATACCGATACCCTTTCATTCATTGGGCCAAGAGTCGATGAAGAGCAGTGCAGTAAGAAGCAGCTCCTGAAGACCTACCAATGCGGCCCGGGGAGATGGCATCTCCATCCAGCGAATCATGGCTACTGGAAATGTCAGCGTCCAAAACAGAGCCTTGGCGGTTAGACAAGCCAGAAAAGCCGAACACTACGACGATTTTCTATTGGAGACATAGGGAGAACCCGAAAATGAGCGAAAGAAGGCTGAGCAACGGTAGCCACAATGATGGCATCCACTGAGATTCCAGGAGGTTGGAAAGCCACGAGGGGCAAGAACGTCGCATTCGCAAACAGACTGACCATTGCACCTGTAGCCCACACCGAAGCTATACCGAGCTGCTGGGACACGTTCTCGGAGCTCAAGTCCAAGGTATCGGAAGGTAATGATGACGCGCACCGAGCTGCCTTCGACACTTGCTCCTCGCCCAGCCTACAGCTGACTTCACAGGCTGAGGTGTTTGTTGAACTTGTGTCTCAGAATTGAGGAGTTTCTGTACAATTTGCAAGAACTTAAGAAATCATCTCCACACGTGCTTCCAGTCAGACATGTAGCCTGCGCCAGACATTGTGCATCTCGAACAGTGGGCTCACCATACTTGCTTCTGACTTGGTGTCGTCTAAGTGAGGGCTGAAAACTATGTTTTGTGCCCCTTCCTCTACGAACGAGACACTCCTTTGCTGCGCAGGAAGACGGCCGGGCAATGGCTCAATAGATGGCAAAGACTCGCTTTGATTGGGTGGCGCCCGCTGCTCGCCACAAGAACTTGACAGCGCAGCTGCTGGAGAACTCGAGATGTTCGAGGGTACACGGGCATAAGATTCACAGCTGTGGAGCTTCGTCGTCTGATACTCTTTGATAGACAGATTGTCGACAGGTACGTCGTGAGCTGCCAGGAGTCTCCTGACTGCATTGCAACTCCCGTTTGGCAAACGGAATTGGTCTGTTAACTGGCTTCCGCGGAACTTAAAACGATGTGGAAGACACATACCGAACAGGACTCTCCCACACAGTACAGACCTCCCCAACGTCAGCCTACGCGCGGATGCAACCTGATTCATGACAAGGCTCGTCAGCACCGCCTCCTTAGATTTCAGCAACGTTCCTACTCCGATTTAGCACCAGAGGACATTAGGTATGCTGCATACCAGCAAAACCTGCGGTAGATTCACAGCAGCATTGCAAGTTGTGGGCCCTTCTTGGGGCTGGCAAAGGCAAAGCCAGAATGATTGCACGAACTCTAAGCTGCTAGGCCAATGGAAAGCTACAACGTGTCTCCGTAAATTAAGGAAAGCAGCAATTTCTGACATCGCCTCCGGCAAAGTCATCGCTTCCATGGGCATCTGGGTGTTTTACCCTACCGCTTCCATCAAAGCCTTTCACACACACACACTCTTCTTCTTCTTCTTCTTCTTCTTCTTCTTCACAGCGAAGAGGTCCCACACACACTCTCTCTCCCTTTCTCTCTCTTTCTCTTCTGCTTCTTCTTCACGGCGCTGAGGAACTCTCTCGCTCTCTCTCTCTCTCTCTCTACTCTATTCAAAAAAAGCTGTTGAGCCATTCATGAGGCAAAGAATCAGGATACAGGTGGCGCTGGCAAGGTGGCGGTGGCCAAAGTGGATCAAGTCACTACTGCACTGCGGGGGCTTGTTTGGACCACGACGCACCATGTAGCCTCGAGAAGCTTTTGAAGCTTCACCTCGAATTCTGCTATCGTTTGCCAAATTCACAACTGATGTCTATCAGAAAGCCGCGATAAACTTTCAAAGGCCTCCCAGCCACTTGGCTCTCTCACGCCACTTAGAGAGCCAAAAGACTGAACTGCTTGCTCTTGTGCCGGGTCCTGCGTGCGAAATCAGAGCCCCGAGAACCCTTACAGATCACCGGCTTCAGGATGCAAGCAATCTTGTGCCTTGGTGTCTCCGGGTTCAGGGTTCAGGGTTCACTTTCGGCTGGGAGAGTACGGGATGCTATGAGGAAGTGCCGCAGATGCAGCGGCTTCGGGCAAAATCAAAACAGCTCATGCTCGAACAGCCGCGCCTTCCAAAAAGCGCCCAAGTTCCCCCAACAAGGGTTTCAGAGTCTGGTCCATGTCGGCCGGCGGCCGGAGGACCACCACAACCGACTGCGTCAAAGATGCCCCTGCCTCCGCCGAGCAACCCAACTTGCAATGAAGCAAGAAGAACGGTGGATGCAGCAAGTGAGGAGGACAATGCTGGCAAGATGTGCAGTAGCTGGTAGCTGCAATCCGGAGACGCCTACGTTCACAGCAGATGCGCAAGAGTTCAGAAGCAAGCTGCTTGCCAACAAGGGACAGCAGGGCTTGAAATTTGGAACTCAGCCACCAGTAGGTCTCCAACATCCTGTTCCACTGCTTCAAGAGAGAGTTAAGCCAATTCGAAGCTCTGACGACAACTAAGACAGGCTACTGATGAGCAACGCCATCGTGGAAGGAGGGGTTTTGCCATGAATGCCCATGAATGAACCGACTGTCCAGAGTCTGCAGCTGCGTGTAGAGACTGGCCATCTGATCGGCATTGAAACATGGAAACCAGACCTGGTCACATGGGGCATAGGGCACGATGGCCCATTCTGGCAGCCATCCAAAGATGCGGGCGAACGAGATGTGAAGAAAGAGGAGAAAGCTGTCAAGGCTTCTCATCCAGGCCAGATGGAGGTAAAAACAAAATCTTAAATAGTAGCATATGGAACTGTGATCAACTGTGCGAATAGGTGAGCTTGCTTGGCCTGTACGCAAGCAGAATATTGATCAGACAAGGCGCAGCAACACAATAGCGCGAGGATCGATGCAAATGCCTGGCCGAACAGATCTTGCTGATGCAGTTTCCAGGCAGAATTGAGCCCACTGTCAACACTTGTGAGGTCAGTACTTGAGCCTTTGGGCAGGTCAACGCCAGCACAGTGCCTCAAAAGAAAGAGATTCCAAGCCGTGTACTCGTTGTACGGCTCGTAGGGTGGATCCATGAGGATCAATCCGGTGCCCAACGTCTCCTTTCAAAGCCACGCTTGCTTGCAGGAATCCTTGCTCTCTGAGTAACCCTGCTTCCAGAGCTCTAGGCCCAAAAGCCTTAAGCCCTTGTACGCTGGAAATGTGTAATCCACAATCATGGCCAAAGGTCGTGCACGTGATGAAGAAGCCACCAGTATGAGTTTTCCTGAGAGCGACGGAAAGCATCACAGAGAAAAGTCCGAGTCGAACAAAAGCGACACTGAGACAGATAGCTGGACTGCACATGGCCCCATCTTCATAGCCTAGTGCAGAAGCCACAATGTACTAATCCTGTTTTTTGTGGATACCTTGGAGAATCGGATCCCTTGCAAAGAGGCTCCCTGAAAACAAGGGCCCTAGAGTACCCTGATTCAGAACAGCCCTCGAATTGACTATTGCCAGGGGGCAGGAATCAGTCTTACCTTGGAGCCAGCCGTGCCAGCGTCTCTCTCGAAGAGGGCCGCCTTTGACGAAGTGTGGGGGAAGATCTTTCCCGATATTTCGTAGGTTGAGCTCTCACCTATGCTTGCCACCTTTCCGGTCAGGTCCCTTCGACTCCCTTGAACCCAGGCCAGAATCATGTCTTGGAATCTTTACTGCTGCCAGACAGCCAGGTCCTTGTACATGGTGCTGGAAAGCTCGAAGCACACTGCCTGTCATGCTCGCATTGTGTGCGCCATTGCCTTTGACAGCATTACGGTTGGCCACATGACTCCGCCCGCCCAAACAGAATCGAGTTTCCCACCCGCACAGCTACTCTTGAAATCTTCTCCGCACTTCCGGAGTTAGGTGCCCCTGTGCAACCCTTCCATACAACCCTGGATAACGTTGTATGGTTCCATGAGTCATCTCAAGGTGCCTAATGTTGAATTTTCCCTGAGGACTGAGGCCAGCCTCATCCCCAGGCCTCAGCCAGCGACTGGCCAGGGCTGGAGAGCCCAAGTAGTGGCGTAATGGCCCTCCTCCTGAAGCTCTCATTGCCACGATCAAGAAACAAGTGAAATTGCCATTTTCGGTTCGCAGGGTTTGATAGCGCAGATATGTGCAGACTGAAGCTAGAGGCACTCTCTGTCGCCCCATTTGTACAGAAGGCAGATGGGCTGTCGCCGGCGCGTGGGTTGGGGTTTGAGAGTGGGGTTTGGAGACGTTTGGAATGTTTGGAATGTCTGCTTGACTTGGGGAGTAAGTAGGGTTTAAGATGGCTCAAGGCTCACGCGTAGCTCTCAGAGGCGACTCCCTGCAAATGCCACAAAAGGGCCCCTAAGCTGCTTATGCTGTAGAGCTGAGGTGGCGGCCTTCTGCCTCGTTGTAGCGGCGGAGCTGTGTCATATACTCAGTCAGAATGAAGGACCTCATTGTGTCTTTGGTCTTTCGGGTGTGCAGGCTGAAGCCTTCATTCTGAGGCAAAGACATGTTCTGTGCCTGGTCAAGGAGCTTGATTCCATGCTCAAAGGTGCTGTCCTGCAGTGCCTGTAGATTCACCAGGCCAGTCGGTCGGAAAGATTAACTTCTGCAGGAATTAGGAATCAGCTGGGGAGTTCCTTCGCATAAAGTGAAACAAGGCCCCAAAAAACGGCTGCTTTTGTGCTTAGCCAACGCAGGCTTGTTGCACCATCCATCGTCAGGTCGTAAACTCCGCGACCTGCATGAGTGTCGATGTAGGTGAAACGTCCAGGCTCCTTGCGGCTTCATGCCAACAGCAGGTGGGAAATGCCTTCTGATGGAGCAGCGGTCCTGCGTGAAGGCCGCCAATAGGGAGATCAAGACCGCGTGTTTGAAACAGTCCTTTGCATTGCGTTCTGGCGCATCATCATGTGAACTAAGCAAAGCGAGCCAATAACATTCTTTAAATGAAAAGATCCAAAATGTTGTATCTATCCTTGGGGCTGGCGCCTTCGTCATTGCAATTTCTACGCACTGTTTGATTCTATTCGAATCTGCGGACCTCAAATCGTTTTGTGGCAGTCTCTTTCATCCATCCAAAATCATCTGGGCAAGGCTCCAAAGAGCTACCAGCTTGTGTCAGGTGGTCGTAGCGGCAGGTGGTGAAGCCTAAGGACAGACAGCTCCTCGGGCTCTGGGGACTTCATTGCCAGCTCCCGCTAGTGACCCCAACGCACCAGTCAAAGCCGGCCAAGCAGCCGTCAATTCCGTGCGTAACCATGTCCTTGCCAGACATGTGTCGGACATGAAATGTTGCTGACCAGCGGACCGCCGTGCTATAGCTCAAGCCAATCATTTCAGACGATCGGAGCATTTCGGCTCCTGGACCACATCCAGGACCCGTGCCCACTGTCCGCCGGCCTCAAGTCTTTCTAGGCCCTCAATTTGACCCATTGTACATGCAACATGAGCTTTCTTTGCCTTTTGCCTTTCTTGCCTGCGTCGGTTGTCCGTTGCTCGGGGTCTTTACAGGCTTTGCCGAGGGATTCTAACACAACATCTCGCAAACTCCGGATAGAAAGGGGTCATCACGCTTTGGGCATCGCCTTGTGCAGAATGTGCTACCGGGGCACATAGCAGACATTGAACAGGCAGTTGTAACCTCACAGGAGGAGTCTGCATGGAGATTTCCTACGAGCTCCAAACTGTCGCACAACGAGGTACGTACCCGCCATAACATGCTCTTCGAGACCGCGGAAAAACTCAGCTTGGAACTCACGAGGTCAGGCTCGAGGTCTTCGTCCCTGGCGAATGGAGCTGAATGCAGCTGAGGCATACAGGGTTCTTAGAAGGATTTTTCAGGGCTCAGCCGACAGAGCCGAGTCGGAACACGCGTTTGGCCTCATGTCTTCCAAGAGCTGAAACGCTTGCTGCCAGCGGGCGCCAGCCTCCAGGGTAAGAGCACTCCAGGCCGAGGGTGGCCTAGGGTGGCCTATAGGGTGTGGATGTGAAGGAGGAAGTAATATCCCAAAAGTCTGCTGACCGACTGGCTTCAAACAACGAGCTTAACTCATTGAGTTGAAAGCGTTTGAAGATCTGCCTCACACACCGTGATGGCTGTGTTGAAGCTGAACACCTGTTCACATTCTCACATTGACACATTGATCGCAAACATGGTGCAATCCGAATCTAGGGACCAGTTGGGGGCGTGCGAAACGTAAGCCTTCGACGGCCATTGCAGCAAGAACTTTTCGCCCATACCAACTACTTCAAAAACTCTTTCCGATTCACTCTTCGTCAAGTAGCAAGTCTCTGTGGCATGACCGAGTTCAGTAGGCTTCACAATGCTTCCGGCTGAGGAAAATGTGCTGTCTGCCGTTTTGATAGTTACATTGATGGCTCCTTGGGTATACACGTCGTTGCAATGCCCTGAACGGACGGGGAGCTGCAGGAGCAGCAGTGAGCGTTCACTGCTTTAGGAGTTTACGGGTCTACAAGGTGTGTCTGCATCAGTGCGTCTGAAAGCGCCAACTTCACATGTCCAAACTTTTGCAGCCTGTGCGTTGATGCTTCAAATGTTTCATCTTAACTATTGCTGAAGTTGGCAAATGCGACTCAAAGACTCAGCATGACTGAGAATGACTCAGAGCTGCTGGTAAGCACGGCACGTCTGGACGTAGCTTTCGTACTCGCATCGATTGGAGCAACGACAAGACCTATGAGGCGCATTCCCGATGGGGCATTAGCGCCGCCAGTATGGAGCACTTACAACCGTCGGATTATTGTCGCATGCTGTTGCATATGCTGGCCACTGCCTGCTGAGATCTGAACCTTGTCTACATTCTTCCCATCCTTGAACTGGGCACTGATGGCCGTGTTGAACGTTGTCATGTCCGGCTCCACATCCTTGCAACAAGTGTTTGGCATCTGCCAGCCTATTGCACCCAGGAAGGTGATGAGCCATGAGTTACAGTTACCTAGAGATGCTCCCAGCCCCTGAATTGCAAACGTGCATCTCTGGCCGCCATTTCCTTGCAGGAGTGCTGCATAAATGAAGCTGAAACCCGACAAGCTCTGGCAACGGATGCTTGCGTGGGACCTTGGGGGGGGGGGGAGGTCTTGAACACACCTGCATTTGAATATGCCAGGCAAGAGTGGCGCAATTCTTTCAACTGCTATTTTTGGCGGTGCTCCTCCAGCAATGCCACGGCGTGTGTCCATTGATGATCTGCCTGATCTGCCCTCTCCAGGGCACCAATGATGCTGTTGTAGGTGACCCTCGCGACTCATTCACTTGGAGAGGCGAGGGAGTCCAACAGAGCACATGGCTGCCGCTACCGTAGCCAAGAGGCACATCCGGCTGCAGGGTCTTGTCTTGCATTTGGGCAAAAAGATCTGGCAGCCACAGTGTTAGTGCTGACGATTCGGTGAGAGCTTGAGACTTCACAACTTGAATTGCAACAAAAGAGTGACGGCTTTCAGGCATCACACATGCTCAAGCTTCGTTTCGGGATTGCTCAGGAATGCTCATCAGGAGCTCGAAGCTTGCTGCACTACCCTTGCAGCTGGGCCTATCGCCAGCTCCCACCGCTCGCCGTCGCAGGCGCCGATGACAGTGTTATAGCTCCTCAGGATTCTGGTAAAGCTTGTGCGGCTTTGAAGCTACCAGCGCTGACTCCTTCTAGTCTGCCGAGTGAATGTGCTAGTCCAGGAGCCTTCATATCTGTGTGTTCTTTGACAAACTAAATCTTGTTGTCGCAGGTGTTGCCGCAACCACAAGCACTCATTTCTGCAGCAAGCGTCCGAACACTGGGCAGCACGTGCGCGCACCTTAGCTTTACAGCAGTTCAATCTGACACCTCGCACTTGGTAGGCTTCACCATGCTACGAGGACCACTGAACACCGTCAAGATACATCATGGAGGCAAATGTACGCAACGCCTGGGCCCACATTTGTACGTTGCCACAGGCGCTAGCAGCAGCATTGTAACCTGACGTGCCAGCAGCACTTGTGTTACGATGTAGCCCACATTCACCGATCGTGTGCAGGCACACCCAAACTGCCCATCATTCCGAGGTGCATATTACATTCGGCTGGAGATGCTCTGATTGCATCTCATGAAGTAACCTCAGCCATGGACTTATGTAGGGATTCAAGGCTTGGTTAGCCTCTTTCGATGTTGCCGAGTCAACGCGACCCATCTACCAGGTCAAGCCTCCGAGGGTTCAGCCATTCTCTTCCCCAACGTTCCCAGCACATCTTTGCACATCTTTGCACAGCCAGGCGGCTGAAGTGCCCGTTGCCATTCCGAGCCCTTCGCGCACGCCGAAATCACGGCAGTGTAGGATACCACATCGACCTGCGACTTAGACTTCAGCACCGATGGAGCTGGAAGTTGGGTGGGAGTCGGGCCCTGCCTGGGCTTGTAAGGCCTGGAGGCATTCCCAGAGGGTCAAGGCCATCTGCCACTCCTTCTCGCAAGCGCTGATGGCGGCGCTGTAGCCTTCTCAGCTTCTTAAGCCAGGACACGTAAAGAAACGACAACTAGGGGGGGTCTCCTCTCATGAAGCCGGAACACAAACAACCCGAATTGTCCTCCAAGAGTTATCGTTTGCTGTCGCTGTCTTGTGGCTTGGGTTCAGGGTCTGCTGTTTTCACTCGTTTGCGGAGGGCCCCGTGGGCAGGTCTCTGTAAGACTCACCTGCTTCTGCCTATCTCAACGTCCACACGGCACGGTAATTGGTTTCTGTGCCATCATAAGCAGCCAAGCAGCTGATGGTGTTGGGAGTGACAATCTGCTTCTGCATCTCAGAAAATACACCTAGCTTTCGGCAATGAGCGGAACTGCCGCTTCTGGCGTTTTTCTACGCTATTCGATACAGAGCACGGCTCCTTCTATGACAAAACCTGCGTACAAGGTGCACAACGCCATGGACCACTGGGAGCCTTTCCCACAAGCACTGATTGCTGCACTGTAACCTGTCGCAGATGCTAGACTGACACACGAGCTGCACTTGCTCAAAGCCCGGACTCATTCCAAACTTCAACGGCCAATGACGCTGTCGGTTGCAGTCTGCAATGAACGACGAAAAATCTTGCAAATTCACTGAAGCCCTCACGTGCCAGGCAACTCACCACAGCAGGCTGGAGCCCAGTCTGCTGGGCACCCCACAGCAAGGACAGGGCCTTGTCGTTTAAGTTTAAGTGTGTTAGCCTGGGGCATTGCTACTGCAGGGTTTAGGGGCCTGGGGGTTTATAGTGCTTTACTTTACGCCATTTAGGGTTGAGGATTTCGGCTTGTGGCGGGGCTACAGGCTGTGATGAGGGTCAACGACCCTCGCAGCTCGTGAGTTCGTTTTGGCCATCCATATTGCTTTTCCAAAACCAAACGGCTTCTTCCCAGCAGCCATCCTTTCCGCATGCATCCAGCGCCGCGTTCACACCTAGTTCAGACATGAACGGACAGCCCCAGTCTACTTGCGCCACTGAGCCACTCAGTTTAGCCAGGCTGCAGATGATCACAGGCTCGATGCCTGCCCCACAAAGCAAGATTTCAAGAGTTAATCAGCTTTAGGAGGGCGGGGAGGCCTTGCACCTTCCCCATGTCATCGTGTGCAAGCCCTTTCGGTCCCGACTCCCAACATGATGCCAACATGTCCCGACTACCACTGAAACTGCGTTTGGCCTGATGTCATAAGGGTTTGATATCAACTGGTACCGAATCCGGAGTTTTGGTCTTCTACAAACTCGGTTTGGTGAAAGAGTCCCTTCAGTGCTGGTGGTACGCTTACCCCGCAAACCAGCAATAACACCAAGCGGCCCGCATCATGCCCGAACCGCCCCGAATGACCCTTACCCACTTCCCCTAAACCCTAAACATCCCTAAACCCTATACTTCTCCCCCCCCCCCCCCCCCCCCAATTTCCCCTTCAAAGCCCCACCCTCTGTTTTTTCGAAGCCTCGCTTCGGCATCTCGGCCAGCAGAGCCATGGCCCTCTGCCGCTCCGTGGACTGGGCCAGGGCGGTCAGTGCAGAGCCTTGGGCGCCAGTGCGGTTTTCTTGCCCCCGCGCGGGTTTCCGTTACACCCCGTTGGTTTCCGCTGCGCCGTTGTGCTCTGCAAAAGTTGCATCTTAAGTCTCGGTCGCCTTCTACGCCTCACGCTCTGCTCTTCTGTCTCAGAGATCTCAGAGTCCACGTTTGGAGCCCTTGTTTTGAGCAAGGTGCTGAAGCTGTAGACGTTTGCCTCGACGCTTCTCGAAGGCATCTCGGCAAGGAGCGCCCTCGGATGCAGGAGCCGCTTCTGCAAAGCACTTCAAAGCGCTTTATAAGGGCTGTTGCTGCAAGCGTCTGAGGTGAGGACACAGCCCTTTGCCACTGACCGCCCTTCTCACAGCTGGAGATGGCCGCCGAGAAGCTGTATACATTCGGCCTGGGGACAAAAGGCTTCACGAGAGAGAGCACAGCAGGGTCTTAGATGGTCTTAGATGGTCTTAGGATGTCTTAGGTACCCTGACTCTGGTCTATAAAACCCTCTCCTTGACTTCTACATCTTCTATGCAGTCTACTGATGTCTACTGGAACCTTTGGCTTGCACTCCGATGTGCTGCCGCCAGGCCACTGAAGGCGCAACAAGGGCATCTGTGCCAGCAGGCTCAGCGCCTGCTGCCACTGCTGGCCCTTACCACAAGCGCCTAGGCAGCACGGGCTCAGGCTCCGGCTTCCCCTAATACACCTCCAATGCAACATCCGCCAACCCGACTTGAACATTTCGGCTGCGTTCAGCAAAGCTGCTGATGGTGGTGGTCAGCCCGCCACCTCAGGAAGCAAGGGTGACATTGACATGGACCCTGGCACGCATGCCACTGAATTCGACAGCCAATGACATTCCACGATCCCCCGTGTAAAGCGAGGTGCAAGTGGGTTCCAGTTGATCGCGTGTCATCTGCTCCAGGTTGTGCAGAAGCAAACGCCACGAGTACTTGCTCGCAGGTTTCATCCCAGCAGCCCGACTAGGGATGCCAGTCGCATGCACTGTTGCCATTCCGTGGGGCACTCCTGCACTGAGTGCCATTCTGAGCGAGGGCTGAAGCCAAAATCTTGACACCAGATGCAGCATGGTAAGTGCGAGTGGCGACTTACTGAGTGCTCCTAGCCGCAGAAAGCATGCTGCAAGCAAAGCCCCATGTAAGCATGCTAACCAAGACCCCGCTCGGAACCCTCTTTGTTGTGAGTTTCATTGGTCCTTTTTGCATGTTAGGCTCTTAAAGCCTTAAAGCCTACAAGGATGCCTTCATGAACATGTTGCATCAAACCCGCAGCAAGATTCCAGTCCCCTCCAAGCCTGGAACGTGTCACCACCTGCATCTGATCCGTCTGAGTCCTCCAGGTCCTGCAGCTGCCAACTCCATGGGCATTCTCTTTAAAATGGCGGTTTTAGATTACGGCTCCGTTTTGCGGCAAGCTGCGGCATGCCTTTATTTCAGCAGGTATTCCAGTCAAACAAACGATCGGGTTGTCTCAACTGTCCCTTCGTTTCGGCTTCATGTTTAACTTTGGTGTCGGTGGCTGGGGAACCCCCGAACCCACTGACTGAACCCCCTCATCGCAATCCTCAGGGGATTAACGTCCCTCCTTCTCCTACAGCACGCCTCCAAGTCCAAGAAGTCGGACAGAAACTTGCCACCCTTCTCACCCGCCGGCTCATCATCGTCCTCATCCTCGCAAATCTAAGCGCTGTTGTGACTACTGTTGTGTCAGTCAATTGCTGGTTTTGGCCTAGGTTGGCTTCTGGTTGCGGCCCAGCCCATTGCTTTGTACTCACTTCTTCCTTCTTTCTTTCTTTGGGGTGTTGAAAAAAGACCCCCGCGCTACTGCGCGACCTTCTTCCTTCTTCCTTCCTTCCTTCCTTCCATCCTTCTTCCTTCTCTCACTCTCTCTCTCTCTTTCTGAACGTATTCTTGTCTGTCGGGTCTTCGTCTAGTCATTGTCGGTAGGGAGGATCCTGAAGCGCCTCAGACACCGCTCCTCCTCGTCCTCCGACTTCAATGCTTCGGCCTCCGCCTCGCGAAGGCGCCTGGAGTAGACGACAGCGAGGTAGACAAGCAAAATCCCATGCGCTTGTGCCCGTGCCGCCGCACTGTGCCGCCGCAGTGTGCCGCCGCTGGAATGCAGCGTAATGCAAGTGAAATATCAGCCACTGAATTTTCTAGCCTTCAAAGGAAGAGGGCATAGGAAAGGATGCTCGAAGGAGGAGGGAGGGAGGCTAAGGCTGGGGCATGCATCGCTCGTTCTCGAACTCGAGGCCCGCTACAATCAAGCGGAGCAACCTCGTGCGAATGCCGACGCAATGACATAAGTGACATAAGCCTGTGTTCATCTTCGCTCTCGAAATTCGGAGGACCATCTTGAGAGCAGGGCTGATCGGCCAGTGGGGCCTCACACATCTGAAAATGCTTCGTTCACCATCCGCATCCGAACATCAGCGGACGATCTCTGCAATGATTGAATACTTTGAGGCCAGGCTGTGGCTTCTTATCCCTGTGTGCTGAACACTGCACTCCAAGAGCTACACCAAAGCCTCCATGCAAATTTACCAAGGTTCTCAAAAGGGGGCTTCGGGCTCACGATTGCTTTCTGCGCCTCGCCCACACGACAGTGACTGAGAGGAGGCTCCTCTGGAGTGGCATTACTACGTCAAACCCTGTTCCGCCTGCATGTCCCTCTAGAGCCTCTCCCTAACCGGCATCTGAGAGGTAGACCTTGCTTCACTCCTCCCTTCTGTTTCACAGCTAAACCTTTGCTGAACCGTCCTTGCAGTGCTCGTGCAATCGGCACATGGCGGAGACTGTCACGTTTCGCCTCAGCCCCGGGATGTGGCTGCAGATATGTCGCGATTGTCAGCTAAGACATTTGGGCGTTCAGAGCCCCTGCACAAGCGCAGCGTCAGCAACCGAATGATGAGGGCAAGACGCCCTTTTGGCGCGAATGTCTGGCGCCTTTGAGTCGAGAGTACAAACGTGTCTCGCTCCTGCTGCTTTGCAAGTAGGCATTATACGAGCATGTTCCCGAAGCAAAATCTGAGCATGCGGCACATGCCAGCCATGCGGACCTGAGACGATGATGGCCACAGCCCGAGACCAGAGGTGAAACGACGTAAGCTGACGAGACCATGGGACTAAACTTTGCTCGCCATTGTGGCCACGCTGCTTTGCATCATGCTTGCATTTGCCTGCACTTGCTTGCAGCCTCACCCGAGGCTCCAGCAGCAACTGCTCCAAGCCAGTGCGTGCAGGCGAGCCTTGGACCTCACCAGGCCGGATCCAAGAACTCCATCTGCTAAGGTGGCATCAGGTCCTCATTGGCATGAAGACAGGTCCTGGCTCAGGACGAAGCCTCAATGCTCGCGAGAGCTGAGACAGCGCCGTTGAAGTCCTGAGAGGGCACCGGACGAAAGCGAGCACTCAAGAGGAAGCAAGGGTGGAACGCGGGGCTGGGCTGTTGACGCACTCAACCGCTTGGTCATAAAGGCTTGTCAAGAACCCCCCAACCGTATTGGGGACCGGGAACAGCACTCTCAAAAAGCCATCCGATACTGTATATGGCACCACTGGCAGCACCCCCAAAATATGGTTGCGCGCCTCCCCCCCTCCCCCCCACCCGCTCGATATCCCCGCCCCTAGGATGGTACCCCCTCCCCCTGCTGTGGTGTGGTTGTGGGTTGGTGTTGGTGGGTTGAAGGGCTTAGGCTTTGGAATTTAGGGTTTAGTGTCCATGGGTTAGACCGTAGAGCATGGTGGGGGGGGCCTGCAAAATGCGGAAGTCGCAGGAGGTTGCTTAGAGGGGGGGGGGGGGGGAGGGATACCATGGGGGGGGGGGGGGGGCGAGAACGCAAACCGCACAACCATATATCAGTCCTGAAGTTTGTGAATCAAAACGACGCTCGAGCTCCGATGGAGCTCGCTTTCGTGAAAACCTAGAGCTTAAGCTAGTCAACTATTCTGCGGGCTATCCCTGGTCCAGAAAGTGTCAAAGCTTGGAGGGCTGTTCTTCCCTCTCTTTCTCAAGGCACCTCCGCATGCATGATTCGGCCTCGTGGAGGAGGCGGGCGCACACAACCACGAGCTCCTTCGGACAGCTTCAAGGCGTGTTCGTCGTGCGCTTTAGGACTGCTTTAGGGTTCAGGCGGACTCAGGATTTGAGAATACTTCGTGGTGGGGGGGGGGGATCTTTTTTTGGTGGGGGGTTGTTGGAGGGCCTAGCGGTGACTGTGATTAGTCATAGATCAGATATGGACATGACGCTACATCCACTATACACACTGGAAGGCGGGAGCTTGGGGGACCACACCCTATAGAGCCAGAACCTCAAACCCTGAACATTCGGAAATATTCAGCCTGACGGAGATAGGGCCGCTCAGCCCGGGCGAGCCGGGTCACCAGGGCTCGCAGGAGCCCCACCTGCCATCCCTACAGGTTCTGGGAGAGTTTCGGTATGCTTCGGTGGTTCAAGGGCCCAGGGTTTGGGGGTTTCGGCCTTTGGGTTTGAGGGGTTGAAGTTGGGGCTGGAAGTTTAGAACTGAATGAACCTGCCCGAAGGGCGCACTCACAGCCCAATGGCTTTGTGGCGGCCTGAAGTGCAGCTGGCAGCACACGGCCTGGGTTCGATGTCTCGCATACGGGGAACTTGCTTGGGGGTCTGGAGATTGCGTCAAATTCAGCCAAGACTGGACTGGGGCGGGTGCCGAACTGCGCGAAGAGCAGCATCGCAAGTGGCCTCGTGAGTTCAGTTAAGGAAACACAGCCCGTACTGTAGTCATGATCTGAACAGAAGATGTGCGAAACTAGGGACATCCCACCCCTGGCCATAAAATCCCGCTGTTCCTTGTTGCACACCAGGAGTTGGCGTCTTTACGTGTAGAAGCCTGCAGCGGTCTTTTTCGGCTTCAGGTGGTTGAGCAGTCTTTCCGCTGGTCGCCGCGGTTCTGCCGCCACTCCTGGCACCACTGCGCCCATATGCACGAATTGACAAACGGCATCGTCATATTCTGCCAGGGTAGACCCCAAACAGTGAGAGACCACGTGAGCCCAAAGTCCGAAACCGATGACAGATTTGCGTTTCGCCATCCAAAAGCGACGACAGCTTCGAATATGGTGAACGCAGACGTCCAAGCATGACGACAGTTTCCCTGTTTGCGAACTCAGACATGCAAGCGCGACGACGGTTTCGCATTTGGCGAACACACATGTCCAAAAGTGACGAAAGTGTCGCTTTCCAAAAGGCGAAACAGTTTCGATGATGGCGAGTGCGGCCACATCAACGCCCATCGCTATCGTCGAAAATGTGCGCAGGCTACAAGGCACAAACGCGTGGTCCGGGCCGCGCCTGCCGGCGTTGCGCGCTGCGTGGCTTCATTGACCCACCTCTGCTTACCCTACACGTTGGAACGCCTTAGTGTTGACACTCTTTCTTGGAATGAAATGTTGCAACTGCAACAACATATATATATATATTTATATTTATTTATTTATTCATATTGAGATTATCTACATATTACATATTACACATATCGTTCCATTACTTAGCTACATTGTACATCATTCCGTGCATTCTTTCTCGATTTGGAAGCCTGCAGCGTCAGCAGCAGCCCGAAGTGATCGCTCGGCCACAGACCGTCCTTCCCAATTGAAAGCCATCCTATTGAAAGGAAACACTATCAGCCCGAGCCCTGTACTAGCTGCTAGTGCCGGATGGCGTGTGAAAGCGGAGCTGTGGCCTGAAAGAACCTTACTCACATCGCGGCTCCGAATCAATGGAACAGTCCTAGGGTGCTTGGTGGACTGTCTTGGGAGAAAGTGACCGAGAAAGTTCATGCCTGTCGGCTGACCCTCTAGCTGTCATGAAGTGCTTCCTTGATGGGCTCGTCGATGAGCTCTATTTCCGTCGCCGCGTAGTTGGCCGCCTGCATTGCATGAGGCCAGTGCTTGTGTACGGATAGTACAGCGGCTGGAATGATACACATGCTTGCGTGTTCGGGTACAGTACCAGACTCTGGTTTTTTCGCCTTCAGCTTCATGATTCAGGAGGCAGGCAGCGAGACAGTGAGAGAGAGCGACAGAGACCATCATAGACAGAGAGACAGAGAGAACCCACTTGATAGGCCCCAACTCAACTGCGCAAGTGTGACACTTATCTGGGGTGGTGGGTTGGGGGAGTGCCTCTCCTCCGCCTCCTCCGCCTCCTAAATCTTTTCATTTTAAGCCTCTCGCTACCCCTGGCTCTCTCCGGAGCCAAACGCCGGCTTGTTCGGACCTGAACTAGAGCTCCCGAACCCTATTCCTCTCCGGGCCTTCATCCAGAAACGATCGAAGCGAAGACGAGCTTTGTTAGCTCGCGCCCAGCCATCCACGGCTGCCATCATGCCTCAGCAGGTTTGAAGGGCATGATGCCCGAATCATCCCGAATCATATCAAGAGGCTGGTAAACGTGCCAAAAGGTTCAGCTGCCTTGACTCCGTCTTATGCAATGCGGCATGTGCACGAATAGGGGGGCGGGGAGGGGTCCAAGGCCCGGTCCATTCCTCTCCACGTCGAAAGTGTAGCCTGCAGAACAACTTCAAAAGAAGGAGCCGCCCCCATGTGCTGCATGTGGCGTCCGAACATTCCCTATAGTCAGACTCGGGTGAACCACTGCACGGCGAACGCAACTCTGCCTGGATCATCTGGTTTGAGGGCAAGCCAGGCATCCTCAGGGTCTCTCTTGAGGACTCACATCTCGCATGGGCGGTGGCGGCTCATCCGCGGCTCATCGCGGCTCTGTCCTCCCAGTCTCGAGGCAGCTTGACATGCCCATCCACTGCTTCATTGATGTTGGTGTCACCACCTTGGACAACAAGGGGTCTGCACACAAGGGTGCGCTCTGATTTCTCATCCAGGGTACGTCTGCCAGATACTTCCTGAAACCACTCCAAGATAGCCCAAACTTCTTCACTCTCCTCGGAACTTCTCCAAACTTCCCGAAGCGACTCCTCTTTGAGCAGCCCCCCCTCCCCCACACACCCCGGCCAAGAGTGAGCTCGCCCTGGAGAAGGCAGCCACTAGTCACGAAATTCGTATAGCCGAGACACAGAACACGGCATCTGCATGATCGGCCAAAATCGACAAGCTCTCGTCGATTTGAGCTCGGCGAGCCTGTGTTGAGGTCTGCCAGCGTGCATCTATACCCTACTGCCTGACGTAGTTAGCTTGCTCAGCTTGCCCCTACTACTAGTACATTCTGCAAGATGCTCTCATTGATCTCAAGCTGCACCCGTCTGTCCATCCTTGTGCTCGTCCAAGGACTCCAGGTGTGATGTTGCAAACGCAAGCGGCGGGAGCCCTGTTGGCTCCACCTTGGCTTCAGGGGCCGTGAGTTTAACTCATGAAGCCGTGGTAACATGTTGTACACTCTGTCAGCCCAAGCTAGACAGTCCCAGCGGCGGTCATGACGAGGAGGTCCCTCTGCATTTTGCTTGCCTCAGGAGAAACCAGCCGGTGCAGCTGCTCGTCCTGTCCCTACTAGCAGTGTACACACACACACACACACACACGCACATCAACCGTCATTAGCCTCAAGCACGTCCTCCCTCAAAGTCTCTGCATCCTGCCTTGAAAGGATACCTCACTGGCTCCATTTTCGCCGGCAGCCGGCTTCCCAGCATAGTAAAGTATCGCTGCCTTGACAATTTTTTGAAAAGACTTCTTTCCCAAGGGCAAGGAACCTAGAAAGGCACTTGCAACTGTGTGTCCCTGCAGTTTCCGAACTACTCTGCAGGCCAACTCGAACAACCCAACTTCCAGGTTGCTGACGGAGCTTGTGGGCTCCAGAAGTAGCGTCGAATAGCTTCACTCTTCAGGCCTCCAGGCGACGGTGTCACAGCTGCACTTCAGAAAGCCGCAGCCCTTGAATTTCCCAGTCATTCAAGGATTCAAGGCATACTATCAAAAGATCGGCCTATCATTCTTTGGTCTCAGTGCAAGCCATCCAAGGCAGGGGCACTCTTTCCAATGCTCTGCTGTCATCTCCTGCCGGGAACGTGACTTAGCGTGTTTTGCTAACAGCTACAGTTAAAGCTTGAACCGCCCAGTTGAGCCCACAATGGCTTTCACCAGCAGCCTGCGGCCTGCTGGCAACGGCAACGCTGAAAGAAAAACCGAAACCCATAACAAGTCACAATTAGGCCCTATAGGCTCGGATCGGGCTGTTCTGGATTCTGTATTTGCTGCAAGTCGCAGTGCCGGCACGGTGATCGTAGCTGTTCGCATGCAAAGTATTCGCACGTCTGGCTCCTGCAACGCGACAAGATCCGGATTCTTCTGGGCGATGATGTTTCCGATCGCCTGCCGAAGTCTTTTGAGTCTCTCTTCTCGGCTCCTTCAATCGCGCAGGAAGCCCCAGCCCCGCATGCTCCCGCTCCCGCAGCCTCCATTCGATGCTGCATCTCATGCGCTGAGAACCAGATGTTGAAGGTCAGCAGTCGCACTGCCATCTTCTGATGCAGTTTAGATGCTGGACAGGGACAAGATGTGACAACATACATGACCGACGCCTCTTGGAAAGGACTAAACTGTCTGCCAATCTCTACCTCTGCTGCAAGTACTGCTCAAGAGCCGAGCATGTCTAGAGAATATGAACCTTGGTTGCCTGAGATGGGCTGCGCATCGAAACTCGAGAACCATCTGCACATCTCCACATGCAAGCTCCACCCATGCTCAGGTGCCAGCCCAACGTACAAACAAGCATCGTCCTGACATACTGTACGTGCCACGGCTGATTTCTGGGTCCTGTTGGTAACGCCCTGCAAACATGGTTGAAACCAGCGACTTTGTGCTTTCGTCTGGGTGCTGGATGCCCCTAAACCCGCCCTCGCTCGCAGAACAACAGCAACACTGCAGCAGCAGCAGCAGCAGCAACAGCAGCAATGGCATTTACGGGAGGGCATCGGCACGCATCAGGAGCATCAGTTGCTCCAGCCCCGGGGCGAATCATGAGCATCAGCAGCCCGAGCACGCATCATGAGCAATAGCGGCCCGGGCTTGGGGCCCGCCGGTGCATTGTTATGGCATTTTTCACCTGCAAGTGAGGCTCCAGGGTGCGTCTTTTGCGCACGAACCCCGTGGCCCCCTTGTTTTGAGACTCCGGTTCTTGGGGAATACCGACGGGAAAGGAGCGTGCATCATGAGCCTCTAAAGATGCAGAAAACGCCGTAAATACCATTGTTTTCGCGTGCTTATGGAGGCTCCTGTGTTCAACAGCCCCAGGCCACCGAGGCTCGGGGGGCCTGTAGATAATTACTTATACTGACGCTACAGCACAGGAAAAATGGCACAGACATGGCGCCGTAGCCTCGAGATCTGGGCCCAGCAAGCGCTCCACGAGGCGGAGCAAAGGCTCCAGGAGCCCACCCTCACGATGCGGAGGTTTTTTCTAGGGGGGGGGGGGGGGTTTAGGGTTGTAATTAGGGTTTGAGGTTTACTACAGTCGGGCCCATGCGATTGGTTTTTTTCACGAATTTATGAGGGCCACGAGCGCATTACTTTCGGTTTGGGGTCTACGCAAGGACTTGTGCAAACCAGTCCTCCGCAACTTGTGACGGGGATCGCTCAACCTGGCAGGCATGTCCCCTATAGTCGTGCAGTGGCGCGCAACGGTGTGAATCACACGGCACAGTCCGCGGCTTCATGTGGAATTACCCAGTAATCCTGATATCTTGAAGGCAACCGATGCAATGAAGCAGGCGGTGCCAATGAAACCAGCCTGAGAGAGTCACTGTCTCAGATCAGCGACTTAGAATTCGAAACCCAACTGGGACTCGGACACCACGATTCGGCGATTCATTCGCTACAGCTTCTCACAGCAACAGATTTCTTAAACCGAGGTCGATACTTGGGAATAAGGATTCCCAGATTCTCACGGGTATGAAAGCTTCTGTGGATTAGCAGCTTTCAGTCGGGCACACAAGCGTCTCCATTCTGTAGTAGCGCTCAGGCGAGCACGTCTCGCATGCATTTTGCAGCATCATGCTTTCGTCGGACTCCATGGCCTGTAGCCAGACATGAGACATTATGACAACCCCTGCTCTTCGAGGACCGCCCGGCGGGGACAATGGCAGGCCCAGAGGCGCCGTTGCGCGCTTCGCACTGACAGCCTGCATCTCTTTCTCCACGATCCGCGCTGTTAGCAGCGTGACTTGAAGTTAAAAGTGCCTAGCGACATGTTACATGTCAGGACGAAGAGAGAACCTCGAGACACCCCGTGGCATCTGCAAGCTGATTGCTCGTTCCAACTTCTTGGGGCTGCAGCGACGAGCTTTGCGTCCATCCGCGACATCCCCAATAAACGACCACTCTTGGTGCTGTTACGGTCTGTTGTTTATGACCCTGTTTGCGGACCAGGATCGCAATGGCATCCAATGACATCGTGTCGAGCACTCAGCAGCCTGATGGGTTTGCACAGCTGTTTGACAGCTGCGTGGCCATCTGGATGCTAGTCTGCACGTCGCCACAGGCCATCACACCTATTTGGCTGACAAGAGAGAATGCGTTGTGGGCTACGTCAATCAACAAACAAACCATAACACGTCTTCATGACAGGTCATTGAGTCATACTATGTCTGACTCGCAGAAGCTGCTTGCAACCTGGCTTTGCTCCCACACGTGAGCGTGCAGCTACAATTCTGGAGAGCCGCTCAAGCCTCGAATGTGACAGCGACGTCCAAGGAATTCCTGCCGGCAATGCAACGACTTCGTGCTCTTCTTGCGCCCCACTGCACATAAATCCACGAGTACCAACTAGTAACTAGACGCATTGATTGCTTCCGACAAGGCCCTCTACGACAAGACGTTCCCAAAGAGCAGTTCAAAAGACACCTACAAGAAGTACAGAAAGTCCTGTCCAGGGCTGATGCCAGCAGAGCTTAGGAAAGGTGTCCCATGGTGTCCCCCACGCAGCGAAAACATCCCAAGGCCTGACAAGCAAGTTGATCTGGTGCCGGAGTAGGTCAACAGAATGCCGGATGTCCTTCGCCGCGAGAAATGTCTGGGCTTCTTCCGATTCTGGCACCCCGCAAGGATTCTTTCCTCCCCTTTCAGAGCCCGGCGGTCCTTGATGGTCAGCTGGGTGCGGAAATGCTCCATTTTGAGCACAGCTAAGTCCAAACTTTTGGCAGGACCTGAAGTGCTGCAGCCGTCTGCTGCCGACAAGCACGTAGACGTAGACTTTGCAGAGGTTTCTCGGATTTCACTTTTCTGCCTGCTGTCCTACAGCCCTTCTACGTGGAACAAGCACAAGGTACACGAGAACAGGCCATCCCTGGAATGCGCTGCAGTTTTCAATGTGTCTGGCGACTGACTGGGGTCCGTGCCCTGTAGACGAGCTGTGCCTGGCCGTGGTCTGAGTTGTTTGGGGCTAGGCTTTGCCTTCACTGTTAACGAAAAAACGCCCTCCAGCTTTGTCAGTTTTCGGGCTTTTCATAGGGAACCTGTCTGATCCGGCTCCAAAGCTCAAGGTACTTGAAGGTCCTCTGGGGTCTAAGGGTTTAGGGCGTGCCCGGCCTTGGATCAGCTCTTCCAGGTCGAGTTCCCTATCTCCAGACGTGTCCTGAAATGGAAGCAAATGCTCATGCATCCCGGTTGGGCAACGATTCATCTCAGTGATTGTGGATCATCTTTTTTCGTGAACTGGCTCGCCATGGCTCGCCGTACTCGGACCAGCCCCGCGTCCGATTCAGATACATGACCGCGATTCAGTGCACATGCAGTGGGCCTTCTTGGATCAGCAGCCGTACGATTCGGATCACGGCTTTTGGGGATTGCGTTCAAGCCATGCGCTCTTCAGGACAGCGGCGTATAAGGCGGTGCACAAGCCCTACATGCCGATACCTGGAAGCCCTATAAACCCCACAAGCCACGGCCGCACCCCCTTAGGTTCCAATACATTAAGGGATTTGCCCCACCCAAATTTCAGACCCGAAACCTGAGCCCTAAGCACCGAGTTCTCTTACAAATCCACTTTTCTTCCAGAACTGGCAACTGGCAAAACCTAAACCCTAAACCCAAAACGGAGCCAGCAACCTGCTGCTCCTGCAGAAAACCCCTTGCGCAGTACAGCACCACGGTTGAACGTAAACCGTGCAACTACAACGAGACAAGATCGGAAGCCTTTACCACCAATCCTACGAACTCCGTAAACCCCAACTCCAACTGAAGTGTTCGATCTGGGAGCTAGGATATCCCAGAGCAGGTCGGGATCGGAGATGGCCAAACCTTGCGCTGCGAACCAATGCTTCACCTGGGGGGCCCGGCTCGTCACGGTTGCAAATTGCGGTTTGGCATTTATGGGCTAACAGTTTTAGAGCTTCAGGGCTTGGGAGCAAGAATGAAATGGCTGCCAGGAGAAGTGTGAACGGTGAGAACACGAGGGCGCCTTGTCTTCAGCGAGCACCTCCCTCCACTCCTCGGGAGACAGGACCTTGTCCTTAGATTTGCCACACATGGGAGTCTAACATGCGCTCATGACATTCATGACGGGCCAGATGCACGGCTCACGTGCCCATCCGAGGAACATCGTCATCGTTTGCGTGTTGGAAGAACATCTGCATCTTCTTCCTTTTGGGATCTTGCAGCTGTGCACAGAACCCGTGCCGGTTTGCCACTGGAAAACCGGGGCTGTCCTGTGAGCCATTTTCTTCGTCTCCACGGTCCTGCCACATCTGACTGCAATGTTCGCTAATTTCACAGTTTTTGCCAAAGGTTCTTTCCAACTTCGGCGGGAGCTCACAGATGTCCTCATCTCTCATTTCTTAGTGATTTAAAGGGCCCTTCTTAGCCCTCCTTATGCCTCAACAGGGGCCGTGCTGGGAAAATAGAAGCAATCTCCTTATCTCGACAAACCCAGCAAAGCTGACCTTGATTGTTGCTGCCCGTCCTGAGCATGATCTGGTCATCTTGCTGAGCGACCTTGAACGTCCTTAGCTGGTGCAGAACCCAGATGTATCCCAGGCACTTTGCATTGCCAGTTGTGCTCTCGTCGCTTGCGTGTGTTTTTCATCTTGTAATTTCGGTTCAACCGACGCTGCCGTGTTCTTGCGCCTTCTACACAGGTAGGCCAGCCACACGTGTCAAACCTAGACACTCTTGCATGAAGACGCCGTTGATAACAGCCACGCAGGCAAAACCTCAGCTTGGAGTCGACTTGTGTAACGCTGGCTGCACGCGTGATCACGAACTTGTGTTCAAACAAACATGAAACATACATACACACACATAAATAAAAAATATATATACACAGATGTCTGTCTATATATGTATGTATGCATATGGTACCGCCCCCCATGTACCTACCTTGCTCCGTGTTTTCTGCTGGTTTTGCTGTGTTCCCACCCGCGTCTAGTTTATTTATGCACGTCCAATATTCCCACTTGAGCTTCACAGAAAGGCTCAGCCCAACAGCCAAGAAGCCAAAAACAATCTTGTGCAACAGGCTGAAGACGACAAACCAGGAGCTCACCTTCTCCTGGGGCCGGGATCAGATCGGATCACTGAATGTGCTCTGGAGCGTGTCCTGGCCTGGAGGAGCCGCGCGATGGGGGGCCAATTGCCCAGCGTTATTTCAAACATGGAGAGCATGCTCCTTGGTAGATGGTTTAGTTGGCAAGAAGGTCCTCCGCTAAGCTTTGCACAGCACAATGAATCTCATACGAAGACCCCGAAAGTCAGAGGCTCCCTGGAGCAACCTCCAAGATTGTCTACTCCCTCGCCCGAAGCTTCTGACCATGCAAAATTATGCTTTTGTGGGTGAGGCGACCCTGCACCTCACTGAAACCCTATTTGGAGTAAAGGGCGCATTGGCTCAGACTGGCTCGTTTTGGCCAGGAGGCCGAGTGAAATTGCCAAAGTACTCGAAGACGTCCTGTCGATCCTTTATATCAAAGCGGGGATCCTCGACGTAGAACAAGAGGACCTGCGTTGAGCGTCCAAGGGACATCATAAGTTAGCCATGCAGAGGTCAGAAACTGGATAACGAGTGGTTGATTGCTACTTCTTCGTGGGCAGTATCTTCCAGCGCCTGGCTAAGCAAAAGGGCGAAGGTCATCTGCACCAAAATCAGCAGCGCTGCGACCCAGATCAAGGCGTGAACGCTGCCTCTTGAGGGAAGAACGAAGACACTCTGAAGCACAATGAGATGCATCACGGCGCAGCCTGCGCTAGTTTTTGCCTAGCGGCCATAGAGCGATGTCGTCATCACCGCCAAAGCATCGAAACCCTGAACAGTGCGTGCCAACTTTACCTCAGGGCTCGGTTTCTCACAAACTTCTTCTCGTCAACGTGGCTGCTGCTAGTTCACTCGTCGGCCTTGTACAACATCAGTATAGCTCGATGAAGCTTGGCACAAATTCTCAGGACGCGGCCAGGCGAAGCAAGCGAGCCAATCGCAAGAGCCGGAGGAGAGACGTATCGAACGGCAGGTTCTCCAGCGCACGGTCAGCAATCCAAAGCCACACTAATGCGAAATCGAACCAGTTCCACACTTCCTCAGAGCTTTGGTGTGCACTTGCACGGCTGGAGATGCTACTGCAGCGTTGAATTCGGCACAGCTTGCAATTGTGACCGGGAATGCCTCAAATTCGGCACAGCTTGCACTTGTGACCGGGAATGCCTCAAGCACAGTCCCTGCTCGAAGGAAGGGCCGAAATGCCAAGTCTCCCTGAAGTAGCTGCAGCGTAGGCCCCAAAGCTTGATGACCGCTTCAACCTTGTTGGGGCCATGGTGCTCTTGAGAGGCAGCGGTTTTGGCTAGAACGCACCATGTCATGTCTAGCTAAAAGCTCTGGGACACCGGATTGTTCAGGCAGGTGGCCATGAAGAGAACACCGAATGTCCATTCTAGGACATCGAAAGCCACAGTCGCTCCAGGCATGGCCTGCGCGTGCACCCCTCCTAGGGGAGGGACCGGCCACGATGGTTCGATCTACTGTACCCTTTGCTCTGGCATGGCGTCTGTTGTTTCTCGGAGCGTCCTTCTGCGTGTCTGGTCTCTGTGTACACTACCAGGTGGTGCCAAGATGCTCATTGCACACGTTGCGCATGTATGAAAGCCCAAACTGAACCGCTGCCGATTTCGTTCTTGTTGTGCCTCCTCCGCCGTCTGGTTGAAGTGTGGATATTCGATGTCATGTCCAACAGTGATGCCGCGGTACTGCAGCTCTGCGGACATCATAACCTAAGTCGCAAATCGCTACAAGATGGGCATACTCGGCGCAGTGCTGCTGCTGGCTAATCGTGCACTGGCAGTAGCTCGTGCAGCCCAGCCCTGTTTGGGAACTCATGTGCCAGGTGGCTGCATGGCCCAGGATGCAAATCGCAAAGACCAGCTCCAACAACGGATGCGTCGCTATCCTCAGCACACTTCCCAACTGCTTCGCTCTGTGCACATAGTCTGCGCGCCAGAGATGACCGCATCCAAGCACACGTGGCACCCGCCATCCAGGCAGGCTAGGCTGCGCCATATAAGCACAATGATCATTCTGATATTATCCGCATGACTGCCTTGTCTTAGCGCTGTACATACTGACGGTTGCGTGAAACAACGCGTAGCCCATGGAAAAGCGCAGCTCCGATTACTCCATATACATTTATCATCTTGAATCCCCGGCGCCGGAGCCAGAAGTCATCGCCGAGGAATTTCGCGTCCGTCTTCTCACTCTTTCTCCTTAAGGTGTTGCTCCTGGGATAGCGCTGCCATGAGGGGGGTTTCCGAAATTAGGGGGTACCTTATTGGGGTCCTTATAAGGGAATCCTACTATTGGGGGTCTGTAAGGGCTCCCATATTTTCGTAAACCCCCATGGAGGCTCGGCAGAAGACCCCCCCCCCCCCCCCCCCCCAAAAAAAAAAAAAAAACGAAATGTGAACACCAAGGCGCAGCTCGGAGCGCTCTTTCTTCGCTTTTTTGTGCACGTTCTTGTCCTCTCCGGTACTGAGGTGGTTTAGGGTTTTTAGGGTTTAGGGATGTTTAGGGGTTTTAGGGTTAATGCGTGCAAGAGCGAGTTTCTGAACTGCGTAGCAGGCGACTTTAGCTGTAGCAAACACAAGATCTTCAGACTGCATCCCCTCACCCGGCGTGCTCGCAGCGTGCAACTGCTTGACTGGCTTGTGCACTGCGCACGAGTGTAGGGGCTTGGAACACCTTGTTAGCACCTAGATGACCCGTATGTTATAATGTTGACTTGGCATTCCGCAATTAACAACCCAAGTCCCGGAACTCAAGAACCCCGCTCCAAGTAACAAAGCCAAACTCCCGGAAAAAAAACACCTCAAGAGACCTGCCCAAACTGACTTATGCTTCAGGAAAACGAGAGGCCCTTTTCCGAATCTCTGCATAATTCATTGTGGAAGCGACCACATCCTGGGGTACAGCCTTTTGGTGGGTCCTACATCATGAAGGATGATTTTCGACTACCAGACGAGGCCCAGAAGAGGCCAGCCAGCCCTTTTGAAAACAGGCCCTCCCAAACAAGACTCCCTTTCAAACCCAAACATATTTTGCGGCCCCCTCCCGGAGAGATTCAATCAATCAAGGGGAGTGTTTTTAAAGGGAAGTGAACAGTATTCTATCATGATCTACACTATAGTAGCATGCTTCAACCCAGACATGCGCATGAACGACACACGCTAAGGGAAAAGAAGACTCCAAGCGAAACAACCCTCGGCTTCCACATGTTACGTCTTTTAGCTTTCGGAAAGCCCCCGTGAAATTGCTGAGAAAAGCTGCAGTGTTCGCTGCCTCCATCTCATGCTCCATCTCCTCTTCGGCAGCTGCAACCTGCCAGAGCGAGAAGAGATGCAATGTCATCTGAATGCCGTCGGACTCGGAGACCACTTGCTCAGTTGCAGCACCCCTCATATTCCAAGCATTCAGACACTTGCCTGGTCCATCTCAGCTTCTTCGGGGGCCACCACATGCCTTGCAGAGGACTGCAGTGGCAGCCGAGTCGACCCTAGGGCTCGGCATGTCAGAAGAACTGGGCCTGTACAATCAAAGCATGATCGTGCCTATTTGGGGGGCTTACGATATTCGGGGTACCTCACTGGGGTCCTTGTTAGCAAGGGATCCTACTATTTGGGGTGCCTATGTGGGGGTTTTACGATATGGAGGGGTCCCTTATTGGGGTCCTTATTAGCAGGGGATCCTACTATTTGGGGTTATCGTAAACCCCCATTTATAGTTCTTGGCCATCAGGTGAGCAGAATGGGTCTGTCGCAGCCAGGCCACACGGGCTTGTCGTGTTCAGTAGGCAAGGTCGCGGTGAACTTCCTGAGGCTTCACCAACAGCTCTGCAGACGCTTCTGCGACTTGCACGTGCTGAGCATGAAGGCGAAACAAAAAAGCGATAGGTCGCCGTAGGAGTGGGAGACAGCGTGTCCGCATCGCAGGATACATATACTGCACCGCATGTGGGGAAGTATCACGACGCATCGTTCCGTGTGGCATCTTGCGAGTGCACTGATACCTCCGAGGCACATTTCTTCAGCAGGAGGCGCTTCAGAAGCCCTCAGTGCGGAGGTTGGCTTTCGCAAAGTTGGGGAATCTGGTGATAGAGGGCCGGATGGCTTGGATGGCATGGCCTGTACGTTCACATGAGCCTAGGGGATCGTTTCTACAAAACTGAGACCTCCCCTTAAGGTCTTAAGGTCTGGGCTGGTCGAGGACAGCCAGGGCCATGGTTTTGTCCGCCGACTCATCCCGCGCATTGCGCAGGGCCTGCCGACTCGGAATATGACGACCCGATCATTGCCTCTCAACCGTCTTCGCAGCCCTTCGCAGCCCTGCGCGAGATCTCTATAAGTTCTCAAACCCTCCAACTCTAAACTTCCTCAGCAGTCGATGCGTTCTCTGGCCTCCAGGGCACTTGCAGGGCCCCGCAGCTTGCCAGCACCCAGCTTGAGGCTCAGATCCTGTAGCAAGATGTACGAGCAGCAAACAGTTTTCGAGCAATCAATGTCGGTCTTTTACATCTGGGCCAGAAAGAGACATAAGCAACACCCTAACTTATAGCCTAAAGCGGGCTTCGCAAGCCCGTCCTTGAGCAGCTGCTGGTGTCGCATCTCCTTAGCTGAATTTCGTGTGGCCACTTTATTTCGACATGATTGTTTAAGCGTGAGGTGGCAGCTCAGCCAGGACTCCAGGTTTGAACGCTCTTCTGCCAGTTCGGCTGCAAACCATTGGAACAGCTCTTCCGTTGGCATGGTCGTCATGGCTCGGGCGGGCCACACAATTGGAAACTCTGTTCAAAGCTTGACAGGTTCCAAGGAGGTCCAGCTCGGGAAGCTCAAGTTGAAACGTTCATTGCGTGCTTGGTAAAAAGCCCAGGATAGTCTGAGCCAAAGAGGAAGTCTGAGGCATGTGAGATGTCATCGCTTCCAGATTGCTAAACCCTGTAAACTGTAGGTATCCGTCGCCGTGCACTCTAAACACCAAGCCCGCAAGCTAGGCGATATGGTCGTTCCGCACTTGCGCCCCCTTCCTATCTGCGCTTCTGTTGCCAAGGTCCGGGTACGGAGAGCACTCGCCTTCTTCGCTAAGCACTATTTTGACTCTGTACCACTGAATTTTCAAACGCCCGAAATACACCAAATCTCCCATACATCCTCTGAACAATCATCCTACGTCAGCCAGTAGCCCCTATAAGCCAGACCCTGGCTTTGTGCAAGGGGCCTTTGCCACCAGCGGTGCGACACAGCTGCACATTGCAGAACCAAGCGGCACGGCGGTTCTTTTCAACAGCACCTGATCGTTTAGGGTTCAGGGTAGGTGGTGACTGAGAAACATGATCTGCAAGAGTTGTCTACCCTCGGCTGAGAACATCAACTCTCAAGACAAAAAGTTTCCTCTCGACATGCTGGAGATACCGTTCCTTATGGTGTTGAGCTCGTGGCACCGTTTTCGAGCAAGATCGATAGTTTCATTCATGCCATGAGTCCTCCGATGCAAGCTGCCTGAAACTCACCCAGCAAAGCAGAGAACGCCGAGAACAATCTGTCCCTGCATTGCTTCAGCTACTTCGGACTGGTTGGGCAGGCGGCTGCAGGATGCTGAGCTTGGGCCATCACTCCGAGAAGTTCTATGGCTGAGCTGGCGAGATGAGGATCCGAGCCAGGCCTCGAGACCAAAGGGCAGTGAGCAAGCCGAGACGAACATGATGAACCACCCCAATGCCCTACGCATAATCCCCCTCCCAAACCCCACCCCCCCCCCCCGCCCACAAGCCTAAACCCCCTTAACGCTAAACCCCAAACCCTAAAACCTAAACCCTGCAGCCTAAACTGGAAACTGTAAACGCGAAACCCGTCACACCAAACCAAAGGGGGGGTGGAGGGAAACGATGGAGGGGGGGGAGAGGTGGGACCAAGGGCGCGCGCGCTCTGATCATGTATGCGCCAAAGCTTGAATGACGAGCTGCATTCCAACCTGCTCTGCCTCACATGGAGCATCCGTGTGTTTGCGCGGCTGACACCAGCAAAGAGCCCCACTGCAAGTCGTTTGCCACCACTGGGAGAAGGTTCTCCTTGCGAGCGATTGATGTGACGAACCACTTCATGCAGAAATCTTGCATTAGCGTTTCATTGAAGGCAACGAGCAGGCCCGATTCCAGCAAGCAGAGCAGTGGCATTGTGAGCCCTTGAGAGAGCTGAACACAACAACCTCAACAACTCAAAGACAGGAGCTTGGAGTGATTCGAATCACTTCACTGACTTCACTCCATGTCACTTGGCCTCCATGGCGCCTTGTAGCTGCCGGTCAGCGCCGACACAGCAGCTCACCAGGTCTAGAACCTCGAGCCATGGCTTTGAGAGCAGTGACTGCAGTTGAGACGGCTCATGGTGGTTCAGGCCTAGCTTCAAGGGACAAACTGTTTTGCGGTCAAGACGGTTGGCTAAAGCCGATCGCATCTCATCGCAGACATGGCTGAAGCTGCACTCATGGCTCAAATAGTCAAAGTGTGCTCCTGTTGCTTTATCCGACTTTGTTGCTGGCTCTCTTTGCCATTAATGGTTCAGATGTGCCAAGTGGTCCAAGCTTTTGGCTTGCATGTGCACCATCGGATCTGCTGCGCATCGTCGCCAGATCTGAGCAAGGAGCTGGGAGCTTGGAGGCTCTTGCACATCGCTGAGTCTGCTGGTTCTGATAGGAATTGCCGCCAGGCTCTTACCTGCTGCCTCTCTGCAAGTATGCTTCGTCACAGGTTGACAAAACGAAGTGACATCTCACATTCCTGCTGGCCTGCCTGCACGGTCAAGGGGCACAGCTCGTGCGAGACGGCCGTCATGACAGTGGGGCATTGCTGCCAGGCGTGCACAGGGCACTTTTCAGTGCAACGCGACTTCGTGGCTCATTTCTGCAGCTCACAGTTTTCGCACCGTCTATCCCGATCCTGGGTGCTCGTTGCTCAAACAAAAAATCAGCGCTGCGACAGATCTTTAGCACTCTATAGTGCAAGCCCCTTGCACAACATGTGCCTGAAAAGCGCTGCCGGTCTCCTGCCTTCACGATGATGCACAAGCACTCGAGGCACAAATGGAGAAGCTCCTCGACACATTGTCACATTGTGTAGGCGCCTGCCATGGGTTTGTGAGGCGCCCCTAATTTTTCCCGCCTCATCATTGTGTGTAAGTCCCTGTAAGCGAGAAACCCTCAAGTCGCCACAGACCCGGAGTTAGACGGAGCTAGACAACCGTGTCCTCGTCCGCATCGCGGAGGAGCGAGCCCAGGGAAGCCAGCACTCCCTTTTTCAGGAGCAGCTCCTGCCACCCAGCTGCTCTGTTCAAGTTCAGACTACATGACTACATGTTCACTTCGGGGAGTCTCAGATCCCGACCAAAGGGAAGCATCCGACATGATATTGTGGCATGATATGGCATGACCCTGAGAGCCTCCCGAAGCTTGTCATCGTGCATTGCCGTCAGGAACCGGCAGAAGACGCGGCAGGCACTGGCACAGAAGGCGGCGGGTCACACAGAAGCACTGTGAGGCTGCTTGATGGGAGCTTCAATGTCTGGCGAGTTCTGGCAGAGCACATTGGTGCTAGAGATTCAAGACTTCGCTTAACGTTGCCTGGTACTCACGGCAAGCTCCCAAGACTGCAGGCTGAATCAAGGTTGAGCTTTGATGACGCTTTGGTTGTGCAAAAACCTGCAAACCCTGGCAATCCCTGGCACCTCACACGCACCACCAGCGGCTCGTCGCTGCCCAAGCCTTTTGCCGCCGCCTCGTACGGCGCAGAAAGGGCCGAGTTTGGGCGGGCCACCGGAACTGTGCTGCAGTCTCTCCAAAGCGATGGCAGCAGTTGGTGACGAAATTCCACTACATGCCTCCAGCAGGCCCGGGATCTCTTCTCGAGCCTGAGCTGGGTCTTGCGCAATGGGGCTTTGCGAGGCAAGCGTGGTCCAGCCACTGCCTGCTGTCGAAGCACTTCCTTCAAAACCTGAACCTGAGGAAACGACTCTTGCGAATTTCGTCAAGATTCACCACAGTCTGCACTGGACCGAACACCGAGCATCTGAAAGATCCAGCCTAAGCCCTGAGACTCCTGTCCCACCCCAATGCCCGTCTTTCCGGGACCTCACGACTCTGGTGCGACGCTGAATGGCGCAGCACAGCTTTGGCACTGCAAGCGGGACAGCAATCGCCATACCGCACTTCCCAGCACCCCGTTGCAAGAGATGGGGTACGCAGGCAGCTGCGACCACGATGCTTACACCGGGCGAGGGGATCATTTAGGAAACGGTTCAGGGCCAGCCCAACGCGGCGTTCCATAAAGATTGAGACACACCACCTGATCGCCTCCTGGCAGGCCCTGAGGATTGTCACGTGCAGTAAGCTTAAGCACGAAATCATGAACAACGGAGCCCCAACCTTAAATTAGCCTGCACATGACCAGGTTTGGCTTTTTTGTTAGCCTTACCGTACAAGGGGACGCCTTGCTCAAGATCCAAAAGGAAGCAAGTTGCATGCATAAGACCAGCTTGGGATGATCTGATAATGTCTGATAATCAATCAAAACGAGAGCAACATCCCCATGATGGCTCAAGCCTCAGAGGACAGCGACTGCAGCAAGCCTGGGTGCAGGGCCACTGACAATCAACTCTGGCATATTTTGGCCTGAACACAGCTGGGCTTGTGAAACGCTGTTTCCTTTCAAAACTGTGGCCACAACACCTCAAGATCTGAAAAAGTCATGCCAAGAGCGGGCAAGGTGCAGAAGTGCACATGGCCAATTGGGGCTCACAGCCATCCCACCGTCTAAATCCTGAGGATCGAAAACGACACCGGCACCTGCACCAGTGTACGCTCAGAGGTTCAGGGCGAGGCAGGGGCATGTTACATGTCACATGCCGGCAACGGAAAGCCTCCGCTGCCGCTTTGGTCAGGGACCTGCTCGCGTCGCTCGCAAGACACACAGCCTTCATAGAACTTTGCCACACAAAACTTTCTCCTGGCTAAGCCGGATCAGCGAATCAGCTATCGAAGCAATTCTCCACAAGCCAAGGGCTTGTGAGGACAGCTTGTGAGGAAGGCCTGCACGGCGGGACCACTGATCGCTGGCGGAGCAACCTGCCCGAACACGGATGCGCGGCATGTTTCAGAATCGGTCTCATGCCGGCCTCCAGCACCTCAAGGACGTACTGTAAAACCTGCAGACCGTTGACCTGTCGCGGTGGCGGGCAGGACAGTCTCAGGCAGCCGCATGCAAAGCCATCGGGCGAGGGAGGCGGCGGGGAGGGCTGGGGGGTCAAGCAGATGAAAGAGCAAAAAGCGCTTTGCCACTCAATCCTAAGCCTCGTGCTGCTCCTTTTTTGGGGGTAAGGAGCGAATCTGGTGTCCAAAACGGTCACTTGGAGGGGATTAGAGGTGGGGGTAGCTGCTATATGCTACCATACTTGCCAGGGGCTTGTCTTGATTTGAAGTCCAATGGCCGCAATCGTTTGGCCCTTTGGGGCCTCTGAGCTCATGAGCTCCGCGATCTCTGAAGGCGTGGCCCGGATGAGCAGCTGCTTGGCCTGGGTCACATACGTATGACTCGTCGAAAGGTCTATGAATCCATGAATGTCTCTGAAGTTTAGTCTTTAGAAGAGACCGTATCCAAGTGGGCGCCCCAGCTGTCTCGGCACGCTCGGTGGCATTGGGGCCCTGGAGAGTTGTGGCCTCAGCACGGCAGTCTGATCGTTTCTGATGCATTGTGGACGGCTTATGAAGGCCGTAGCTGCTGAGGGCTTCTGCTCATGCCATTGAGGTTTGCAGTGCTGGAGATGTGGGACATGCGCCTTTACTCCAGGGCCTATACAGGTCTTTCAACAAGCTGCACTTGAAGTGGTCGAGATATGGCCGAGTACCCGAACCATCGGGACGAAATGCACCCACTTAGAGTGTAGTCGTAGAGTGTTTACACATCCGAGCAGTGTCGACCAGGGGGATTCTCGGCTACATGGTCTGTGGTCATGTGGCTGGGCCGCCCGCGCAAGATCCACTACAACCCGAAACATTTGCCTTGGACCTGCTCCCAGGATCCTGCCCTAAGCCCGAAACCCTAAACCCTAAATTCTGGGCACTGAGGTCCCCACACAGGTAACTTCAACCGCAGCACTGTCGGCTTGTATCTGCCTGCGGGAACGACATGACAGAGTTGCAATGTCTAGCCCTTCTCATCTCTGTACACAGGCCCCGTGATGCTTTCCTTTGTGGCGCACTCGTTTGCAAGCTCTACTTGCGCACATGATTCCAAAACAGGCACCTGGCATCCACTATTTGCAGCTCCACATGTGTTGAGTCAGCCGGTACCTGCTTCAGGAGAACCAAGAGGACTGAGGATGAATTACTCGGCACTCTTTGAACATAGGGGGGTAAGCCGGGCGCAGTCAGATACCCAAACCTAGGACTTAAGCATCCCTAAGCCCTAGGCCCTAGTGCAGAGCTGTATAAGCCCAGACGCCCTTACCCGGCCCTAACCCTGAGCCAAAGCTTTTTGAGAAGGTCGTCTGGGAAATGCGTTAGTTGTTTCCCCCCCTCCGTCTTAACCACGCATCAATGACTCCATATACTCTATCCGGAGGGCAGAGATGGTTTTTCTTTTTTGGGGGGGCGGGGGCGATCAGCTAGATGGCAGCGTGTCGCAGCTTCCCGCCTGAATTAGGGTGGCCATTGCCCGCGCAAGTGCTGGTGGCACCTGGCAGCTATCGTGACGTGCGAATGTGGAAGGCAACTAAACAAGTAGTCTTTTCACCATGCAAATGGCAAGAGGCTACAGCGTGGCTGAGCAAATCAGACCATCCTTCAAGGCTCGCATGAACCCGCCTGTGCATCGGACAGAAACCGAGAGGGACTGGACCTGCCAGTGTTCTTTGAAGTTGTGTGGCTGAAGTCGCTGCCGGCGTACTGCATGCAGCATGCTGTCTGATGCCGCAGGACAAAAAAAGCAGTTCATGCTTTTGTGGTCTCCAGTCTGGCTGCTCCTCTGCCAAGAAATACATGGAGTTTGCAGCCAAGCCCACTCCAGACGGCGCGCGCATCAACCTTCGCGTCGGAATCTTCTCATCTACTGGGGCACGGGCACTTTGGTCAGGATCACGCCGGTCAAGGTGACGATGTGGACCTGAAAAGCATTGTGGGGCAGTGTGTGGGGCTGATGAGAATTTGTCGTGATTTGTTGTCTGATCGATTCCGGGCCCCTTGCAGTTGTAGTTGTCGTAGTCGTGCCTTTAGGCCAACACTTGACATGCAGCACTGGCCAGGAGATGCCACGCAGAGCCCATGCACAAAAGACACTTCCGGGCACTTGCTGCCCAGGCACTCAGGGTCGAAAGAGTGGCTGTGGAGGTTGTCGTGGAGCTTGTCGAGGTGTTTGTCGTGTAGGTCGCCGTTGTATTCCTGGAGGAACTGAGTTGAACTCGTGACTTCTGACCCGCTGCAAGAAGATCTTATACTTGCCATGCAAGGCACGGCCATTACGAGCACTGCACCAGCCGACTCCAACCTTGACTTGCAAAATTACATCGGGTCCTGTCCATGGTCGGGCTCGTTGAGAATGTTGATGTGCTGCTTGCCTAAGTAGAAGCAGCACAGCATGACAGCATGTGATTGGTCTGTACATAAAGAGATGCGACCGCTGGGAGTGTGGCAGACGTGGCAGTGTGTGAGCTGGTTGTTGTTGTGTTTGTGGCAGACGTCGCCTCGTGAAGGCCAGAGTCTGAATACACAGCTCCCTTATCAACGATGCCTCGCAGCATAATATGCCCGAAAGAGGAATCTTCAAAGCGATCTGCTCGTGACCGCCATGCTTGTGACTGGACAGAAAAAACAGCCAAAGTCTGGGTTTTTCAGCAGCATTTCCATTCTGATTTTGTAGTTTTGTGGAACTGCGTGGCAAAATGGGCCTACTTTGCGACGACGCCTTGGAGCCTCTAAGAGAGCATGATTCTTGCAAGCCTCTAAGCCTCTACTGCTGTCTCTGTTATTTTCTGTTCCAACGGCCGATTTGCCTCTTGATTTTTCAAGCTACTGTGTGAATTGGTGTACATCGTTGTGTCTAGAGTGCGTGATGGAGCTATTGTGGCAAATGCAGCCACATTCACATCACCTTGGAGAGTGCATCTCCAGAAGAATGCTTGCGCAAACTGGAATTGAACATACTGTGTGAACGACAAAACCTGCCTGTGCACAAATTGAAAGTAACTTGCGGGTGGTATGGGGGAATCTGACGTGCGGGAACCTGATGTTCTGCATCAACATGTGAATGCAGCGCATGAGTAATACCCGTCCTCAACCCGGACTGGGTGGTTAGCCAGCACGCCAAGCCGATTCAAGCAAGCAAAGAACACATCTGAGGAATGATATCTGGTCAACGAGCTCACTTTTCCGCCTGCCATGTTGTTGAAGTGGAAGTGCTCAAAGTTGAGGTGGCCTGCAGTTTCCATTCTGATTTCGGTATGGCCAGGGTACATCATATGAGAAGGCAATCGAGATGTACTCCTGGCTTCCAGTGGCTCAAAAGGACCCGTCGAGAGTTTAAACATATGCTTAGTCATTGAACGTCCTCATCATACATGTTTTGGCGAGCGCCCCGCCTCCCCTCTCGATTACTCATAGGACTTCGAAAATCTTACGGCAGCTGATCTGGTGCTCTCACGACTTGGGCGCTAGCGCTCACGGAAGTGGCTGAGGATGTCTGAGATTGGGTTGATGTGTATGCCTCAAGCATCTCAAGACAGCAAGAGGCTGCATGGGGCTGCAATGCTGGCTTTCCTTCTGCCAGGGCTGCGGCAGCATGTGTGGTTGTGCTTGCGGTTGAAGTTGCAGTTGAAGTTGAAGTTGTGGTTGTGGCCTGAGGCTAACACGGGATGGCTCTCCCAGCCCATTTGGCAGCACATGCAGCACGTGCCGTCCATGCTCTGTCTTCGCTGAATAGGACACCATATCGCTACCCTCTGACCACGCATTGGGCCGCGCGCGTTTTCTGCCATCGACTCGTTGGGCCTACCTGGTCCGAGATTGTCCCGGTGTGAGAGATCGAGTAAATTAATACATGGCTGTATGGCTTCTGTGCACTTGGATGTGCTTTGGAAGGTATCAGGGTCTGATTGAGATGAAGTCCATAACAGTAGGTACATTATGGTACATCTCACAGTCTACGTATGTATTCTGCAAAGGTACGCTGCACTGGGCGAAAATGATCCTTGTATGACTTGTGAACACCTGGAGTATCAACAGCAGCTATGTTATCGGACGTCTGCTGCTCTCTGTGATCTGAGTCGGATGCCAAATCCATCAGAGATATCGCTGCCTGCAACTGATCTTGCGCTGGTTCGTAGGCGGCTTAGTAGGGAATGAATGCCCATTCCCTGTACCGAAATGATTCTGACGTGCATTTTGGTGGCAGACCCTGACCATCTCTGAAGCCTCAATCCTCAACTTGAAAACTCTACTAAGCCATAATTAAGCCATTGTTCTTTTCCGTGCAAGGCAGAAGGTTTCAGCTTGCAGGTTCGCCTATCAGCCTATTCAACCTTCAATCTGAGAACCCCCAGTTCCAAACCCAATATTTACCAGCCCCCAAGGAACCTTCCAGGAAAAGTAAAGTTTCAACATTCTACAAATAGTTCTGATAAACAGCTGAATGGGTGGGTTGTTGGGTAATTTGGGGTGCGGTAGGGCAAGGGGCAGGTCAAGCGGTAGGGTGCATTTCCGAATGTGGTGTCTCCCACGGGTCAATCGCGCCTTCGAGGTCAGACGCTTCCACTGAGGCAAAAGCTGTGGCGACCTGAGCCCCTCGAGCCCTTGAGTTGGCCCCGATTGTACAAGGTCTTCACTTTGTGCGACTGAGTACCGAACACAATCGACATATGGCATCAGCACAACGAGGACCTGAAAGACAGCACAGAATTGTGCAGAGGCGGCCTGTGAGTGCAAATGAGTGCAAACAATGGCAAGCACCCCGGGTAGCTTAAGAGCTCAGCCCAACAACGCATGCGCCGCGGCGTCCCAGGCCTTGTGTGGCATCTCATGCAGAAGGGCTAAATCCGCCTAAAGAAATATGTGGCCTGCCGGGCTAGGATGCTAGGCACACAGTGTGCGCTGTTCGATAAGCAAGGGGTGAGCAGCTCCTGCTCGGGTCTGTTTTAACTCCTGCTTCCGAACTCGGAGTACGTCAAGGTGTAGTGTTGCGCGGCAGCCTCCTTGCGCGTTTGCGACACGAAGCTGCCAGCAGGGAAGCGCTACATAACTGCATAGCGGCTGACACACACACACACAGCTGCTTGCGAGGCAGTCCTCCGCATCAAAGAGAGCTGCTCCAAATGCGACGGCTTCGACGGCAAGCCTACGGATGTTGCCCCGTAAGCCGGGCAAGAATATGTAATATGGCAATGGCATGTATGTGTGTACATATATACTCATAAGAAAGTCACAGTCGCTCGCGCAAATATGCCCGCCTAAATATGTTTTGTGGACATGTATAAAAGTCCAGCAGAAAAATGCTAGTTCATCATCAACATACACAGAACATTCTGATTTCGTAGGCACAATGAAGCAGCAACCAACACTGCACCCCCACCAGGTGGAGGAGAGGTGGAAGTGTTTTGTGGATAAATTGTCGTCATGTGGAGGTGGAAACCTACGACAGCACCACCTCGATATCACCACGACCTCGTGGTGTGGCCCTCCACCGCTGTCAATTGTAAACCCTTTTGCTTCGCTGTGCGAGGCCTGGCGCGGCCTTCGGGGGAGAGCTGCAGTGGCAAGATGTCGCCAGAGGCGACCCCACGGAGTAGCTCCGAGGCTTTGCCAAAAAGGGCGGTGGCACGGACCTCCGCAGGGAATTTCTGGGGGATGTTTGGCTTGTTGGAACAGCATTCAGACATCCAGCACGATGTGGGGCTCTCCTTACTTCGTATCCATCCGCCTCAAACGCTTGAAGTCTCAGAACTCCTCCATATCCGGCGAAGGCTTGGGCTTGGACTTTATAGAAACCACTATCATCCAAGAAACTTAAGCTTAAATATCACTCAATGCGGTCACCCAAGTAAATTGGGATGCAGCGACGTCGATGGCTGAAGAAGCTTCGCGGCTGGCAGCACGCACGAGCTCCACCTGAGGCAACATGACACCAGCCTTTAGGGTCAAGGTGTCTAATGCGGGTTTCTCGGTTTCGCGGTTCAGGTGCGAGTGAACATCAGACTCAACCTGCCGTAGCTGCAAGGTCAATGCCACCCAACCATACAGCTCCTGAACTCACCACGTGAATCAGTTGGTACAGCATGTGCAGCATGAGTCTTTCCCTTGCCTGCTGCTGTGCTGTCATTTCAGCCAGGTACACCTCGAGAGTCCCGACCGGCCCCGTCCTAAGAAGCAGAAGGCACGGTCTCACGATCGAGATCTCTGCACTATGTTATCCTGCTGTTGGTTGGCCACTCTCGCCCTCGCACACTGGAGATTCGAGTGGTCTTGCTTGAGAACATGTGAAGCCGATGCAGGGGTCACAGAATGTCACAGTCACGGTCAAAAGCAGCCTGGCCACATGATGGACTCCAGCCGCAGCCGCTGCTTGGCCCGGCGCAGGAAGTATCCAAAGCGCACGGCGGCCGCAAACTGCTGGCGCGTCACCAGGCGATCCAAGGCCTGTGGCATGTCCGAGCCATCTTGGAGCATGTCCTCCACGGCACCAGTGGCGTGCTTTGCAGACTGCGTGAACTCTTCCAGCGGTGCCTGGCCAGCGACCTGCTGAAAGTCACGCAAGTAGAGCTCGGACTGCCAAAATGCCCGACAAACTGGCCCAGGAAACTGCTTGTCCGAAAGAAACTCCACCACATAGGGGACCTCGTCCTTCAGCAAGGCAGCTAAGGCATCATCAACGCCATCCGAGGTTTCCGAGCTCGCGCTGTCCAGCCCCTCTTGAGCTGGGCGGAACCAACTTGTCAACATATCCAAGGCATCCTTGGTGAGGAGGCGCCCGGCCTCGTGAGTGCGGTGACTAGCACTCGCCGTTGTCCACTTTCTTTTGGGCTTGCCAGACAGACTTGCTTCGTGCGCTGCATCATTCTGCCATGTATTACCTGCTCTAAACCACAACGCGCTGTTTGCAAACCTCGGGTTTACTTCGGTTTGCATGCGCCGGAACAAGCTTCATGTCTTGCACTTTTATCAGGCATCTACAGCGCGCAGAAAGCATGCTGGACATATCCGGCAAAACAAAAACTTCTCGAAGCCCCCCCCGAGCGTTCAACACGATGAGCCTCCTACTCCTACCTCATCAGATTTCGCCCCAGAGGGGGAGCTTCAACCCAAGTAACAATGATAAATGCTAAAACTTAAATATGTGGGGGTTGTTTACCGGTTGTCTGGGTGAAGTGAGCAGAGTTAGAATTCCCCTCCCTGACACAATTGCTGTTTCTAATCGTTTATGTAGGGTTGGGATGGTTTGGGGAGTGAAGATTCGAAGAGGCTTCCACTTGCCACTTCGAACTCTGTGTCTGCGCCTCCTCGAGACGAAAGGTGCTACCGGCTTCTCCGAAGAGAGCCTCGGACTGCTGCAGGGCATCCCAGGGCGAGTCCTTCCTCGGGGCGTGTGAAACACGGGAGCGTCGCATTTTTTATGCACATATGATCAATGAAAGTGTCCGAAGGTTATGGGTCAGGGGTTGCTTTGTGATCTGCAGGGCCCCCCAAGGCCCTGCGATGCCCTGCATGTGCGTTGTCTTTGTCCGCCACGCACGTCTCTGGCTAAGGCTGTGACTCTTCTCCAGAAGCACGGGCTGTTGAGCGTACCTAGGATCGCTACGAGCACCACCCCTCTCACGCAAAGACAGGGTTGGGAAGAACATGTCAAGAACTTGCTGCAACTTTGCTGCCCGGAGCTTGGGCTGCTTTGGCCACACTGGGCTGACCCAAGCCTTTGCTGCTCAATGATGTTGAGACAGACCGGCATCGACCGGCAACACGCCACGACTTGGATCTTGGAAGAGAATCATATACTGTATACTGTGGGTTTAATGGCATGGAGCCAGCTCTGCTCAGTAGTCGAATCTGAATCGAGCTTGCTGTGCCAACTGCCAAGGCTACTATCACCCTTAGGGCAGGAGGCTCGAACGCTCAGCAGAACACATGCTGCAGCGGCTGAGCGCAAGCCGGCGCGCAAATGCGTCCGGCGATTGCAGCGAGCCATTCTGCGTGCTTCGTTTCATGCGCGTGTCTCCAATGCTGCAAACGATGCTGCATGTTGGAGGCACTGGTATGACATACTGCTTGTTGTGCAAATCTGTCTCGGACGATGTGACGGCTCGGAGCTAGCAGAAAAGTGCTGCAGTACCTTCTAATGACACCTTTTGAAAGTAGCGCTTCTGCTGCGCTGCAAAGCGTGTGTGTGTGTGTTCGGCTTGACTTGTAAAGCTGAAGAGAAACATCACGCAGAACCTTGTGTTGCCCAATCTTGCAGTTGTAAGGGCAACGACAACGACCTACATCAGATCAACAGCCCTGTCAAGGAGCCTGGCCGCTGCCCCTATCCCTTGAGTCCCTCGAGCCCCTGGGATCCAGACCACCTTGGGTGGCTCCGACGCTCGGCGCAGCTTTTGAACGAAGCGGCGGCGGCAAATCAATACATCCATGAACATCGCATGCTCCAAGCAGGTCTATAATATGTAGATGTGCTTCTTGAAGTTTCCTAGCAAGCTCTGCCTCATTCTGCCTCTGAGGCATGCCGAGGGCCGCGCCATCTGAGACACAATGTCTCCCAGACGATGTAGCAGCGAGAACGCGCGAGCGCGCAGAAACTGCAGCCAGGCTTGCAGTCGGATGGTCAGTGAGGAAACGCAGACCAAGCCAACCTTTGATTCACCACTCATGACATGGGTGATGTATCTTCGCAGCATTACACGCACCTCAGCAATCCCCGGCGGTCTTTCGAGCTTGCATGCTTGTGCGTGCAACAAAACTGTTCACATTTGTTTTTGAAGGGATTCTCTTCTTCGGACTTGTCTCTCTGGCCTCTGGCGCGTTCCGGTCAGCGCAAAGCCGGGCAGCCAGTCCTAAAGCGCTTGGAACCTGGCAAATCTTCGATTCGCTTTGCTTAGCTGGAGGGGCAGGCCGAGGCCAACGAAAACCAGCTCAAGCGCACCGCTCGCTGAAGGCGAGAGACTCAAGCCATGACCGAAACTCGAAAATGGATTAGACCCTACAAAGCCCCCAGGCCATGAAGCCTGAAACGACCTAAGCGCAATTGACTGCGAACCAGTTCAAAAATCATTGCAGGGCTGCTCTGATGGGCGCGAAGTTTAAGCTTCCACCCACCAAGCCACATTGATAGTACCAATATTGACCACTTACCCCCCCCCCCTGTCCCCTCCATCCTCCCCAAGGGCAGATTCCCTCGAAACAGTCAATCTCGACCTCCCCACCCCCCCCCCCCCCACAACCCCCACACCCAAAAGCCGGCAAAGGCCATGAACCGTTCAATGTCGCCTCCTATGATAAAATCCATAACTGGCATCTTTCCGGACCTTGTTCTGCACCTGCTAAAAAAACTCAAGCCGCTCCGCTTTCAGGACGTCTCAAACCGACAGCAAAACATTGTCATGAAGATTCAAGGCGGATTGGGTCAACATCCCTGGCTGACTCCATTGGCCTTCTCAAATGCATCGAGAGCCTCAAGTATGCCCGGGGCGCCAGAGGGCCCAACTCGCTCCGCTGTAGCGACTTCACTGTCGCCTCACAACTGCAAGATTATTCAAAGCAAGCTGTTGCAGCAACGGTTGTGGCCAGCTGCAACATCTTCTGGAAAAAAACTCTGGCTTTCGCTGCTTCCCGACTTCATGGTGCGTCTGTGCCCTTCAGCATTGGGTCCAGTGGGGGCTCTTATTGCAGGCACCGAGTTTGGAAGACGACGTCAAGCAGAAACCATCTGCGAATGTCCTCTGCTGCATGATGTTCCGAACTTTTCTGTGCCTGAGTGTGCCTGAAGATACCTGAAGGATATTTTACAGCCATGACCTGACGGTTGCACGAACCTTGGATCAAAGCGGTCATTTTAAGGTGCGCCTCGGCCACTGCGATGCTAAAAATGAACAAGCCAACCTGGCACTGAGGTATTTCTACCCACTCTCTTAGTGGTCTTAGTCTCTTGGAACAAGGCTTGGCAACTGAATGGATGCATCCGAAGCGACTGATCTGAACATGATATATTATACTGTTCTAGCGGCACGCCAGGATGTCATCGAGCTGATTCCACCTCTGTTAGCTTCCAGGCAGCGGCGTCACCTGACACTTGATGCTGCAGCGTCGTGACACATGCGGCTTTAAACATGCGGGCCTTCCAAGTATACGGCCGGTCGCGTACATCGCCCTTTATGTATGACGGCAAGGCCTGAGCTGCGCCCACTTTCACCGCGCTCCAACCTTGTCTGTGAGCAGAAAGGCCGGCTGCAAGGAACCCTTTCATTGTATGGAGGTGGTGGTGAGGGGGGTCCAACATTACTCCTCGTCCTACGTCCTCCTGCTCCTGATTGACATTTTCCTGCTGGGGCGGCTCCAATTTTCGCCTGGGCATCATTCTTTCTACATCACACGTGGAGGTAATGCTCTAAGTTGATTGCAGTAGCTCATAGCATGCGTGGGCTCAAGTCCCAAAAGCTTCCTCCTGATTCTCAACATCAACACATTCTCAGCATATTTCAAAAGCATTTTGAAGTGTTTTTATGAGAGAGGTTGTGGACCAGGAAGCGTCCAAACATCCATCCCTACCAGATGTCGTGTGCTCCCCGGATGGTGAGCGGTTGTGCCGACTCCTACGCTCCTCTAGTGCCCGGGCTCCTCTCCTCGATTGTGCAGGTACAAGGAAGAACTCAACAAGGCATGCATGATGTGACAAGCACCTCATCACATCCAATGTGAACAAACACACAGAAACATCGCCATCCCGGCCTTCCGGGCATGCGAAGACGCTGGACAAGTCGATCAAGGCCCCGACAAGTCCGTGGCGAGCGCCGCCACGGCGCGAGAGCCTTCGCGCCTCTTGTCAGCGGATTTGACAAAATGGCTTGCGCTGCCCATAGCAGCCGCATGCACAAAGAATGTTCCGGAAGAAAGGACATTCGGAGTTGGGCTCCCCGCTTGAAGGTCTCCAGCATCCCTGCCACCAGCCCTTCACCAGACATTCGAATAGTGCATCCCCTGCCAGGGCAGTTCAATCTGCAGGCACAAATCCTGAACCCCACAGCCGAAATCCAAAAAAAAACTCAAAGACTCAAAGCTTAAATTCAATCCCTCTTACAAAACCATGCCTCAGAAAGCCTCAGCTCACTTGCGCACTAGCAGCAACCCGCCTTGCCACCAAACAAATGACATGACCATAGGATACACTCGGCAACCTCCAATCATGCTCGATCAAGGGAGTGCCTGCAGTGTTCATCTTCTTCCTGCCACCGGGTTTGTCTTGTCTGAAGCTAGCTTGCGCAAAGCCGCAAAACGCCTCTCGTTTCAAACTCTTTATTCAGGATGCAGGTGTCTCCTGCACCAGGAACTCGTTTGGGTCAGCTCGCCATGAGGCTGCCTTGTCGATTTGAGCTGAGCCATATTGCGGGTGTCTGTCAGCTTTTGCACAGTCTCCCCGTCCAATCCTAGGGAGCCCTGGCCTGGTTCTCCGTGATTCGCATGAAAGGCACCAGGAGCTGCGGCAGAAAGGAAGCTAAAGAATCCCGCAATAAGCTTCAACGTTGCTACGGCTCAGGGTTACGAGCCATACGAGCCTCAAACCTTCCCTCCCAAGCCTCCGTGAATCCTTGCACGCAAAGTGTCCACAAGCCCCGCTACGTACTGTCTACAACAGCCGAGAGCACTTTGGTGCGTTACGGCGCGTTTCGTCTCGGAAGGGAAGTGTTGCATCGGGGACGGCAGGGGAGAAATCTGTGATCTGGTTTGAAGGTGTTGGTCTCTCGTGCGAAATGGACCTTTGTTTGTTCCCAGCAAAGCAGAAGCCCTTAGAAGCAGCCCTCATAATGAATACGAAGAAGCCAGCTTTCAACACACGATCTAACCCAAAGTCTTTGCTTCGGTGTCACGTTGCTAAAGCGAAAAGCTCCGACAGATGCCCCTCAGACACCGCAATGGAAACTGGATGCCCAGACTGTGCCTGAAGCAAGTTCTTCACCCGATTCTTCAGAAGGGACTTCAGCTTGGCTCGGACTGCCATAGCCTCCCAAGGCCATCTAAACAGGGACCAGGATCCGGCTGACAGTCAGTGTCGATGGCAAGGCCGCAGTGCTTGCAGTTGATCAGCATTTGGGGGTTACGAAAATTGGGGACCCCGAATATAGTCCCCAAATAGGACCCCAACAGCTGTCAGCGAGAGCGATCATATCTGCAATCTTGTGCGAGTTCTGTTCTCATAGATATTGCGCGGTGAAAGAGGTCCAGAATCTTGTTATCTTGTGCTAGTTCAGTGCTCACGGCAACTTGTGAGGTGAAATGTCAGACGGGTCAGATGTCTTAGACAATGGGCGACCCGGGCAAATGGGCTTAACCCCCGCCATGGCTTGCTGCCCCCGGCCCCAGGCGGCGCGCTACTTGCTAGAGTTTGACGCATCTTTCCAACGCGACCTCGCGGGGATCCTGGCCAAATCTCGACCATCTCGTCGAAAAGTGCGGCCGTCACCAGCTCGTCATCGAGGCAATCGGCACCGATTGCTCACGCATTTCACTCCTGTGGGGCACTTTGGCCCTGATCACGATGCTGCCCTCGTCTTTGCCAAGCCTCAAGGCAGGGCGCAAAGGAGCTCCGCCGTAGGACCCCGGCCTCCAAGTCACGACCACGAAGATCAGAACCTCTCTGCACAGATCCTGGTTCTCCACGTTGAGCTGCAAGAGGTCCTCCTTGCTCATAAATAAAGTCTGCACCACGCAGTCCACCGGGACCAAGTTCATGTCGACGAGCCGGTCTACCTGCGGAAGCAGGACTTTGCCCACTTGTGCCGCTGGAGGTGCTGATGATCTCTGTTCCGCTGCAGATGCTGTTCGTACAGTGCACCGTGCTTCATGATAACGGCGCACCACGCCAAAGCCGTTCAACTTGAACAGGCCAAGGCTTCGGCCGCAGTGGCGGCAGAAGGCCCTCTCGCAGCGCCTCATGGCTGATGATGCTGCCTGATGCTTAACAACTTGAACCGATTGCTCGACGAGCAGTGCATGCTACGCAGGGTGTGCGCCACCTTCGACAGACCACTCAAGCATTACCAAGACTGCCTTCTACAGTGCTTTCAGCTGTCAGCAAGAGCGATCATATCTGCAGTCTTGCGCTAGTTCAGTGCTCACGGCAATCTGTGAGGTGAAATGTCAGACGGGTCAGATGTCTGAGACAACGGGCGACCCGGGCAAATGGGCTTAACCCCCGCCATGGCTTGCTGCCCCCGGCCCCAGGCGGCGCGCTACTTGCTAGAGTTTGACGCATCTTTCCAATGCGACCTCGCGGGGATCCTGGCCAAATCTCGACCATCTCGTCGAAAAGTGCGGCCGTCACCAGCTCGTCATCGAGGCAATCGGCACCGATTGCTCACGCATTTCACTCCTGTGGGGCACTTTGGCCCTGATCACGATGCTGCCCTCGTCTTTGCCAAGCCTCAAGGCAGGGCGCAAAGGAGCTCCGCCGTAGGACCCCGGCCTCCAAGTCACGACCACGAAGATCAGAACCTCTCTGCACAGATCCTGGTTCTCCACGTTGAGCTGCAAGAGGTCCTCCTTGCTCATAAATAAAGTCTGCACCATGCAGTCCACCGGGACCAAGTTCATGTCGACGAGCCGGTCTACCTGCGGAAGCAGGACTTTGCCCACTTGTGCCGCTGGAGGTGCTGATGATCTCTGTTCCGCTGCAGATGCTGTTCGTACAGTGCACCGTGCTTCGTGATAACGGCGCACCACGCCAAAGCCGTTCAACTTGAACAGGCCAAGGCTTCGGCCGCAGTGGCGGCAGAAGGCCCTCTCGCAGCGCCTCATGGCTGATGATGCTGCCTGATGCTTAACAACTTGAACCGATTGCTCGACGAGCAGTGCATGCTACGCAGGGTGTGCACCACCTTCGACAGACCACTCAAGCATTAGCAAGACTGCCTTCTACAGTGCTTTCAGCTGTCAGCAAGAGCGATCATATCTGCAGTCTTGCGCTAGTTCAGTGCTCACGGCAATCTGTGAGGTGAAATGTCAGACGGGTCAGATGTTTTAGACAACGGGCGACCCGGGAAAATGGGCTTAACCCCCGCCATGGCTTGCTGCCCCCGGCCCCAGGCGGCGCGCTACTTGCTAGAGTTTGACGCATCTTTCCAATGCGACCTCGCGGGGATCCTGGCCAAATCTCGACCATCTCGTCGAAAAGTGCGGCCGTCACCAGCTCGTCATCGAGGCAATCGGCACCGATTGCTCACGCATTTCACTCCTGTGGGGCACTTTGGCCCTGATCACGATGCTGCCCTCGTCTTTGCCAAGCCTCAAGGCAGGGCGCAAAGGAGCTCCGCCGTAGGACCCCGGCCTCCAAGTCACGACCACGAAGATCAGAACCTCTCTGCACAGATCCTGGTTCTCCACGTTGAGCTGCAAGAGGTCCTCCTTGCTCATAAATAAAGTCTGCACCATGCAGTCCACCGGGACCAAGTTCATGTCGACGAGCCGGTCTACCTGCGGAAGCAGGACTTTGCCCACTTGTGCCGCTGGAGGTGCTGATGATCTCTGTTCCGCTGCAGATGCTGTTCGTACAGTGCACCGTGCTTCGTGATAACGGCGCACCACGCCAAAGCCGTTCAACTTGAACAGGCCAAGGCTTCGGCCGCAGTGGCGGCAGAAGGCCCTCTCGCAGCGCCTCATGGCTGATGATGCTGCCTGATGCTTAACAACTTGAACCGATTGCTCGACGAGCAGAAGCCAATATGAACTGCAAGGCTTTTGTGCATGCTACGCAGGGTGCACACCACTGAGCGAAGAGTCCTGTGCTAAACCAGATGCTTTCTAAGGTACCCCTAATCTCGTAAACCCCCATTTGATCTCAAGTCTTGGCATCCAGTGGAGCCTGGATGAGCTCCATCGTCTGGGCGACAAAGGGGGCCACACCACCCTCACGAGCAGTGCTTGCAAGTACTCGCACTAGCAACAAGAAACTCAAGCCACGCAGCCCGTGTCTGAGCAGTGTGCCTGGCTCTTCATGCTAGCAATGCGACTGGTTTGGACGGGCGACTTCGACAGGCTTGGATGGACAACTCTTATCCATGTTGGTGTGCAATCTGGGCTATCTTGGCTATTCAGCGGCACTCATGCTGTCATGATGCCGGCCTCTTCTTCACTCTGGCCATTGTCGTCTGCCAGGATCACAGCCTGCTACCAGTACGAGCTGCAGATCAGGCATAGCAAGCATTGCCAAGCTCCGGAGCCTGCTCATAGGCCGGTTGAAGGCTCTGCACCAGAAGACACGCTGGTCTGAGCAAGCCCTGCGCAGGAGTGGCGCCACTGGAAGTGTTGCTGGACTCAAGTTCTGAAGCCTGCAATTAATGGCTGAAGCGGTGAAGTGAGGCAGATTCTTCGGCACTCTTCGGGTGATGCCGTGTTCCAGGCGCCTCGATGGACTCCGTCATGGTAGGCTCGAGCTCTGGGAAACGGCAAAGGCTCGTGACCTGGGCTTTGACTGCTCCCTCCGGGTTGGTTTTTAAGCAAGCCATGGGACAAAGTTAAGACTTGTGAAGACATGCCAAGCCTTCGGCTGCCTGAAGCGCCGTGAAGGCGCAGCGCACCCTCACCGGTGCGTCCCAGGTGCCGTGTCCTCTCAACTCTCTTGAAAATGTTTTGTGTCTGCATGGTGTGCAATCGCACGCGTCTTCTAGGAGTCATTCCTTTCAAGAGCCGGGGGCTCTGAGACAAGTTTTTCTGGTGTGGCCGGTGCAGCACCATCAATGAGGTCAGACTTCGGGCTCTGAACAACGATTTGTTGGGGCCTAACCCCCTTGCACTTGTCCGCCCCCCTCCCACCGCCCCCGGACAACCCACCGCCACCCCTGATGCAAGTGACTTTGAATCCGGCCGGAAATGATGGTAAACCTTTGCGTGGGCGAAGGCATGGAGCCATTGCAGATCTTTGGCAGGAAGCAAACGAATACCAAAAAAGTTTCATTGAATTTCTATCTTTCGACCGGGGGGTCTTTTTAGCCCAGACCTCTTTTGTTTTATCTTTCTTGGGCCTGGGGCCGAAGTCGGCCCTGTCTCTCTATCTGTATTCATGATTGTACATACAGCAGAATACAGCATACATTGCATACATATTTACGTATGTATCTGTATCATGCACAGGCACACGTGTACATGCTGTCAGGGCTCGGGTTTCCCAGTCTTGGGTTAGGACTCGCTGCCCTGCCGTTGCTGCGTCTTGGGCTTGGCCTTTAAAGGGGCTTCTCGTCCTTGAAGCAGGCATGTTGACAATTGAACCAACCGTGCTGGAGCAGAAGCCGGCTTTTTTATGGCTATGAATGCTCAACTAACTGCCAATGAATGCTCAACTGCCCATCTCGCACAGGTGGCGGTTTTCACTGCTCTGCCTGGAATATCTTCCAATCGTTGCGATGCTCGTTGCGATGCGTGACACATCTTATGTTGCCCCAATGACTTCTCGCATCGCAGAGTTGTGAGGCTGCCTAAGGCTGGCTGAGCTACTTTGGGACCACGCGTTGCGTGCGGCCCATCTCACATGCCAACTACGGAGCTCATCTCGAACTCGCCTGCATCTGCCTGCAGGTCGTCAACGCAGCACTATACAACCACTGTGATTGTGGAATGCATAAGGTAGCTCAACTTACCTTCTGAGGTATGTGGCCGGAACACACAACCTACCCTTCTTCCGCGCGAAATACTCTTCTGGCAGCAAAGGCTTGCCACTGCAAATTACTGTAGCGGGCTACTTCTCAAGGCCATGCAGAAGAATTGCGCAAACCCGGCGGCAGTACTTTAACTTGATACAGGGCCTTGCCGCGCAGCGAAAGGTTTAGCGCCAACCCCGCCTCAGTGAGGCTTGCGAATACAAGTGCGACTCGAGCCGTTCAACTGCCGCTGTGTTTGCACCGTTGACGGCATCTGTTGAACAAGTGCTGCATAAATCGAGAATAACCGAGATAGGTCGAGCAAGCTAGCCGACTCATTTCACATGCTGGGTTTGCAATGCCAGCTTCGCGCTAGGGCAGAGGTCGTGGCTTTGGAAGATGCACCGGACATACTTTGTTCAAAGCCTGGAAAGAAGCGTTGAATTCACAATGTTCACCCAGTGACGACATGGTTGGGAAATCGGTCCTCCTTGAAGACCTCTACATTGTGCTCCAAGAGCTCTTGGCGGTCGAAGCAGGCATCGTCTCCTCCACATTTGCATTCCAAGAACGTCTTCTGATGTGCGAATCTTGCGGACACCTCTTACTGCCGACTATGTCTCAACAAAGTCACGAGACTCAACGATCCCCGTGCTTAGGAGGCGGGGGGGGGGGGGGGGCAGAAAATGTAGATTACAATTTTCACTGCCCCACCGATACGAATGTGTCAATTGTAGGATCCCACGTCTGGGTCCACGTTTTGCAGCTATTTTGTGCAGGGCAAGCCACGCATACCCCTGCTTATTTCCGCTGGACACGGACACTGGCAATTGCAGGAAAACATGTCCTACAATTATGTACCCCCCGCCACTCCTACATTTATTCAGCGCGGGATGGTACTCAACCTACTGATGCGAGCATCCGACGTGCTGCCAGAAGGTGTTTGCAAATCCGCTTGTCAGTTTCCAGTATGTGCAGCTTCGCATGCAGCGAAGGCCTCACATCGAGTTAGCCGCAGCATACTCCGCAACCGTACGCTGCAATGCTTGGACTCAAGCAATGCTATGCACATACACAAAAAATGTGGGTTTCTCGTGCCAGCGATATAATTCACTGATGTCAAACAGTCCTTTGAACACGCAGACCAGTGCCAAGCAGTGGCCGACCTGCACGGCTGCTAGCTTTCCTCCCTGATGCAGAAGGATGCAGAAGGTCTAGAACGGCGTCTCGAAACCGAACTCCTTGAACTGCTACTTAGCTGCTCAGATTGCAGTCTACAAGGCTTCGATGTTTTGCCATCTGCCGTTGTCTGTCCATCAACTGACTTTTGCCAACCATTTCGACATTCTGGCCACATGCTAACGTGCCGAAGGATCATTTTATTGTGTACAGCAAAGGCACCTGACCAAACTCTGACGCAAATGGACAAGCCTCCTTCAGAACTAGGACAGCACCGTTGTGCAGCTGGAACTCGCATCCAGCATCCTTGTTGTCCTCGAGACCTAAGGGCAGCGGCAGGAACGGGCAATCAAGCTGGGAAACTCTATAGCTCTCGGAGTCTGCAGCAGCAACGCAGCATGGATTCCTGCTACATCGGCTACATTTGACAACGCTCTGTATGTCCTTGTCTACGATTCCTTGCAAACCCTTCACTCAACCTCACTCGCTTTCCGTCAACTTCACCCCTCTCCTCACGGTATTGTGCTTTTTCTCGCTATCGGCTGGGCCTGGGCCTACCGGGTCTGTGGAGTCGGAAGGCCGGCGCCCTGCGCGCCAGGCTCGGCCACTCCGCTGCGGCAGCTTTCCGCTCATTCCGCTCGTTCCGCTCGTTCCGCTCGGCGTCTTCGGCGTCTTTGGCCTGGAACGGTGACGCCTCCGGCTATCCTCAGAGTGTCGCGTTGGCTGTGAGTGAAACGTGCCTCTCTGAGGAACTGAGTTGCTTTGTTCACTTGCGTGGGACTGTGCTTGCTGCGCTTCCCTCTCCTGTCCGACGTGCTCCGGCGCCTGGTCTGCATGCTGGCCCTGGGGTACAGCCTCTGGGTTGGCCATCTCAGTGGACCGTACGCGCCTCGGCCGCTCGATTGGCTCTCCCGAACGCCAGCCATCTGCCTTACCTTTTGCATCGCTATGCGTTTGATGCCTTTGTCCGGCTTGGGCTTGGGCTTGGCGGGTCTGGGTCTCAGCGGTCTCAGCGGTCTCAGGCATCTGGTAAAACGACTGGTAAGGCCGCCGCTTGGGAGTCTTGCTTACCAAAGAGTCTGCAGAGGCAGGCGCAGCCTGCGCAGCCTGCGCAGCCTTGGCCTTGGACTTGGCCTTCGCCTGGGGCTCTCTGGGCTCTCTGGGCTCTCGGTGTCCCGCTTGGGCCTTGGGGGCCTTGGCTTTTGAAGAGATTGGGGGTTGCGATGCGGCCCGGCGCTGTTTGCCAACTGGGCTCAAGCCATGGCTCGGAACGCGCTCATCCAACATTAGCAGCTGCTCCAGCTGCAGGACTCGTATTGTAGATATTGTAGACTCGCCCTGCGCCGATGCCTCCGCCAACAGCCTGCGCCTCTTAGACCTTCTCCTTGAGCGACGCTTGGACTCATCCACGGCGTGCCGGTCTGCCACATGCCCAACTGAGCTGCTTCGCTGCGGCTCGAACCAGGCAGTCTCAGGGTGGACGTCCTCCTCTGTAAGAATTTCGTCGGCCCAGCGTCCCGAACAGGAGAAGCCCCACTGAGAGCTCTGTAACGGTTCGGCCGGCCCAGCCCATTCTGGGGCTTCCTCCTCCAGGAGCTGTTGAACGCTTCGGACACTGTAGTGCAACTCACTCTCCATCTCCGGCCTTTCGTGCAACTCCTGTGGTCAAGGCAGTGATTCCAGCAAAGAACCTTACGGCAATGCGCCCCGAAAACTCACCTTGGGGGGTAGTGATAAGAATACATGGCTATACTGGCTCTATCTAGGCTCTTACATGCTGTACAAATTTCTGTACAATCTCACCCCGGCCTCGACGGGCTCGTGAAGGTGCTGCGCGATGTGCCTGGGCTGCCATCCCGCAATGTTGCTGGCCATGTTGGGGAAGCCCGCAACGATTGGGTTCAGCAGCTGTGACTCGGTGAGTGCACGCCGGGGCCCTTCGGGCCCGGCGAACCAAACGTTGGACCAGTCCGACCACTCCGGGGTGGCGGGCATGGACCGTGCCATGGAGGTGTCCAAATCCAAATACTCCTCATGCGAAGTGCCTCCCGAGGTGCCTCGAGCAGGGCCACTCGGGTCTGGCAGGGGCAGCAAGTGGTTGAGTGGAAGTGGCATGGCACCAGTGGAACCAGTGGATACTGGCTGGAACTGCAAGGTTGGGGTGCTTGTGGCTGAGGCAGGCAGCTGCATGGGGGCAAGTGGGGCGAGTGGCGCATGCGGCGCATGCGGCGCATGCGGCGCCAGAAGCCCGACTGCTTGCATTGTTTGCGATGGGCTGGCCTCTGGGGTTGACACATGCTCAAGCGCAAGAGGTTCGAACTCCTCGCCAAGAAAACTGTCAAGGCCAGATTCCATGGACGCCGTAGCATTGGCTGTCACAGGCTCTTCCGCCTCCTCCCCAACATCCTCATCCTGACTCCCATGGGAGCTCTCCGCCTCCAAAGGCTCTTGCCATTGAGGTTGGAGGGTCCACACGCCATCACTTCTTGCCGCCGGACTTCCTTGCGGCCAATCTGGAAGTTCATCCGACTGCTCCTCTGCGCGTGTCCAGGTGCAAGAAAAGAATAACGCTCCCAGAACAGAAGCTACTGTAAGCGACACGAGGAACGTCTTCAGGTCAAACTTGATGGAATCCGTGTCTGGCTGTGCTGGTTGATTGCCCAGGAGCCAATCCGCAGGACCCATGGAACACTCGGACGATGGCGGAAGGCCCATGCGCCACCGGAGGTCTTCCACCTGTGATGAAATTAAGAACTCTGCATGGTTCGGAGTGGCATCTCGGGAGTGCCGATTCTAAATTTCATACAGACTATAAGTGATATGTGGTGCTACCTCACGGGATTGTTGTTGCGCAAGCTGCACACCTCCTGACGCAGCACGGCCTCCCCAATGCTGAGCCCATGCTGCTTCCAGGAGTCTGCCAGGGCCGCCTTGGCTTCCTTAAAGCGGCCCTGCGCGGAGAAGCTGTGCACCCGCGCCAGGTGAGCCAAGTGGGCGGAGCCAAGGCCGCCAGAGCCGCGGCGCCGCTCGGGCAGCGCGCTGCGCAGCTCTAGGAGCTGGTCCTGGAAATAGATGGAGTTAGGGTCGGTTGTAGGGTTTGGGGGGTTTCAGGGGTGAGGGCCAGGGGTTAGGGTTTGCACAGAGCTGCACATTCCGAAAAACTAGTATTCGGGCATTTTCCCCAGCAAATAGTGATGGCGATTCTGATGATTCTGCACACATCCACAAATTCTGATCCATTGTTTTCCTCCGCTTGCACCCCAAACGCAGTCGCGTCGGGCAGGCCGGTTTGGATGGAGCCCTCTTTTTTGGCAAGTCGAGGTGGTGACACCGTCCAAGTCGATGGACCGGCATCTTCTTCGTGCGATCGTGGGAATCCTGTTGTGCCATTTTTTGATTTTCTGTTTTTGTTTCCTTGTTTATCTTCTTCTTTGGCGGGGTCACCAGGTTTATACCGCCGTGACTCACCTAGGACAGTGCACATGTGCGGACAGCGATCCGAACACATGCACTGTCCAAGGTGAGTCACCGTGACCAAAACAGGCGCATCCCACCTTAAGAATGCACTAAGCTTCAGGAGCTTGTTCTCTGCGGGCTCGCATTGGCAAAGAGAGTTTCGATACATCGCACATTCACACATATGAGACAAGCCATACTATGCCATGCAAAGGATGCTTGATGGCGTGTTCACCAAATGCGAAGTGCCAACAATCCGCCTAAAGAGACATCACTCCGTGAAATCCAAGAAAGGCAAAGCCACAGACCACTCGAAGCCCTACAGTACAGACAACAGAAAGCCCGGTTTGAAAGCCCTCTGATCGGTCCTTCTGCTCCTGCTGTTGCTTCAAGAGCAGCTGCTCTTGTCTCTTGCGCTCGACGCGCTCTCCGCGCTCGACTGGCCCGAGAACTGGACTAGTGCGCTGCAACAAGTCGAGGCTCTGCTGGCCTAACTCTAACTGGTGCTGCAGGCGGGGCGGAAGTAGGTGGGAAGCCTGAGGCCGACGAGTTGGGATCTGTTGTGCCGGCTCCCAGTCCCGGCGCTGTACATCCCACTGCTGTAGCACATGCACCTGTGGATGCGCATGCTGTGCGCTTCGTGGCTGCAAGGCCAACAGCCACAGCAGCCATCGCCAGCCGGGGCAGCTCAGAGCGAGCACCATGTGCTGGCATTCGAAGCTAAAGTGAATTCCATGGCCATGTGCTGCGCCGTCCAATCAACATAGAGCTACAGCACCTGGACCTATGCACGGCCAGACAGTTGTGCTGGGCCTATGAAGGACACTAGTCTTTTGGTGTAAGACCGCAGTTCATGGCCTCATGGAGTCATGCAAATAATACGATGTATATCATTCAAGGGACGCCAAACGACGTGTCATTGTTGTTGCACGTACTGAGCAGCGAAATTTGTTGGACGCTCTTTGCCCTGCAGATGTCATTGCTTCGAGCAACTGTGCTCGCGAGCTCTTCGATCATGATTCAACTTGATGGCGCGTGCAGTGTACAGGGCAGCTGCAAAAGGACTCGCAGCCCTGGAATCCAAGATCATCGCCGTTGCCGTAGATGCACGCGATGTCAATCACCACGTCCACCATGTCAGCACCTGAAAAAAATGAAGCAGGCTTGCTCTGACCAAGACATGCGGCAGGCCGGGCTTCGTGCAAAGTTCGTACCAGGACAGCTCCGAATTGCTCTTGTCGGCGGCCAAGTAGAGCTGACAGGTCTTCGACACATCGCGGCTTCTTCATCAGATAGCTACACTGCGTCACTGGCAACGGTGCACACATCCGCACCCATGAAAAGCGCCTTCGAAACAACGTCAAAAAGGTAGACCTTCTCCTGCAGAAGCCGAATGTGCCATGAAGGGACAAGGCTCTGAAGCAAGCAAACAGCCAAACAGCAACTGCGCCCATGGCAAGACCGCAAAATATTCAACAATGGTGTTTCCCTGTTTTTGTGGGACCCCGTCCATTCGCGTGTTCTGGCTCACCGCTTCCAAGCACTTCCTGGCATTCCGACGCATCAATTTCTGGACTGCAAGACCTCAGCCGCAGTGCTAACGACCACGGTCTCCAACTCCTGCAACTTCAAGACACAACAGGACACGCAACACAATGGGAAGCGCAGCTACGGTGGTGCCTCAATATACACACGTATATAAATATAAATAAGTATGTAGAAATAAGTATGTATATATACGTATTTGTATTTATACATATGTGTAAAGAAAGCAAATAAGTAAACACATCCAAAAAACAAAACATATATATATATGTGGCATGGACCTTTAGGGTCTATTTGGCACGCCCCTTTGTTTACTATTTACAAAACTTCTTGAAAGTAGTAGTGGTAGTAGTAGTAGTAGGAGTAGTAGGAGTAGGAGTAGTAGTAGTAGTAGTAGTAGTAGTAGTAGTAGTAGTAGTAGTAGTAGGAGTAGTAGTAGTAGTAGTAGTAGTAGTAGTAGTAGTAGTAGTAGTAGCAGTAAATGTAGATCCAGCCGGCCAACAGCCAGACTTAGGCAAGCACCCTCGCTTCGTGTTTCCTGTGACTTGGTAGGGTCCAGAGGTTTGTCGTATGTCCCCTCCCTTCGTCCCTTCGTGTTGTAAGGGTTTTGTAAGGGCTTTGGAGGTTTGTGTGCTTCCCCTTTCTCGTTCTTATAGGTTTTGGGGGAGCATCAAAATGATTATCATATATGATGTGTTTCCGTGCTCGTATTATGAGGGCTAGTGCCTGCCCTAGAGGTTTGTCGTCTGTCCCCCCGCTTCGTGTTCCTGTGATTTGGTAGGGGGCTAAAGGTTTGTCGTGTGTCCCCTCCCTTCGTCCCTTCGTGTTGTAAGGGTTTTGGGAGGGTCCTGGAGGTTTGTCGTATGTCCCCTTTGTTCGTGCTTGTAGGGTCTGGGGAGTGTGTAGATGATAATCACATATCATGTGCTTCCGTGCTCGTATTATGAGGGGCTAGTGATTGGCCTGGAGGTTTGTCAGATGACGCCCCCACTTCGTGATCCTGTGATTTGGTAGGGGCCTAAAGGTTTGTAGTGTGTCGCCTCCCTTCACTCCTTCCTATTGTAAGGGTTCTGTGAGGGCCCTGGAGGTTTGTCGTATGTCCCCTTTCTTCTTGCTTGTAGGGTTTGGGGAGCATCTAGATGATAGAGGTTTGTCGTATGTCGTCTCCCTTCGTCCCTTCGTGTTGTAAGGGTTTTGTGAGGGCCCTGAAGGTCTAGGGCAGTTACTAGCGCCTCATAGTACGAGCACGGAAGCAAATGATAATGACAATCATCTAGACGCTGCCCAAATCCTACAAGCACGAAGAAAGGGACATACGGCAAATTTGCAGGGCCCTCACAAAACCCTTACAACAAGAAGGGACGAAGGAAGGGCACATACGACAAACCTCTAGGACCCTCACGAAACCCTTACAACACGAAGGGACGAAGGGATTGTATCTAATTTCGTATATGGTAAAATGACATACGACAAATCTCCAGGACCCTAGCAAATGACATGAACACGAAGCAGGGAGACATAAAACAAACCTCTAGGGCAGTCACTAGCCCCTCATAATACGAGCACGGAAGCAAATCATATATGATAATCATCTAGACGCTCCCCACGCCCTACAAGCACGAAGAAAGGAGACATACGATAAATCTTCCAGGTCCAACAAAACCCTTGCAACTCAAAGGGACGAAGGGAGGGGGCACACGACATACCTCTTTAGGCCCCTACCACATCGCAGGAACAGAAAGCGGCGAGACATACGACAAACCTCTATGACAAACACCAGCCCCTCATAATACGAGCACGGAAGCAAATGATATATGACAGTTTTCTAGAAGATCCCCAAACCCTCCAAGAAGAAAGAAAGGTGACATACGACAAACCTTCCCCCAACAAAGCAATTTCAACACGAAGGGACGAAAGGAGGGGACATTCGACAAGTCTCTGGCCCCTACCAAATCTCAGGAACACGAAGCGTGGGGACATACGACAAATCTCCAAGGGCCCTCAGAAAAATTTTATCAGCCTTACAACACGAAGGGACGAAGGCAGGGGACATACGACAAACCTGTAGGCCCCTACTACATCACAGGAACAAGGAAGCGGGGGGGGGGCCATACGACAAAATTCTAGGGCAGTCACTAGCCCCTCACAATACGAGCACGGACTCAAGTTATATGTCAGTCGTCTAGACGCTCCCCAAACCCTACAAGTGAGAAGAAAGGGGACACACGGCAAATTTGCAGGGCTCTCACAAAAACCCTTGCAACACGAAAGGACGAAGCGAGGGAACGTATGACAAACCTCTAAGCCCCTACCAAATCACAGGACCAAGGAAACGGGGGGGACAAATGACAAACCTCTAGGACAGCCACTAGCCCCTCATAGTTTGAGCACGGAAGCAAATCATATGTGACGATCATCTAGACTCTAGACGCTCCCCCAAACCCTACAAGCTCGAAGAAAGTGGATATACGACTAGCCTCCAGGGCCCTCACAAAACCCTTACCACCCATACAACGCGAAGGGACGAAGGAAGGGGACATACGACAAACCTCTAGGGCAGTCAGTAACCCCACATAGTACGAGCACGGAAGCAAATGATGTATGGTAATCATCTCGACGCTCCTCAAACTCTCCAAGCACGAAGAAAGGGGACACACGACAAACCTTCAAGGCCCAACAAAACCCCTACAACACGAAGGGGCGAAAGGAGGGGACATACGACAAAGCTCTAACCCCCTACCAAATCTCAGGAACAGGAATCGGGGGGACATACGACAAACCTCTAGGGCAATCACTAGCCCCTCACAATACGAGCACGGAATCAAATTATATGTCAGTCGTCTAGACGCTCCCCAAACCCTACAAGTGAGAAGAAAGGGGACACACGGCAAATTTGCAGGGCTCTCACAAAAACCCTTGCAACACGAAAGGACGAAGCGAGGGAACGTATGACAAACCTCTAAGCCCCTACCAAATCACAGGACCAAGGAAACGGGGGGGACAAATGACAAACCTCTAGGACAGCCACTAGCCCCTCATAGTTTGAGCACGGAAGCAAATCATATATGACGATCATCTAGACTCTAGACGCTCCCCCCAAACCCTACAAGCTCGAAGAAAGTGGATATACGACTAGCCTCCAGGGCCCTCACAAAACCCTTACCACCCATACAACGCGAAGGGACGAAGGAAGGGGACATACGACAAACCTCTAGGGCAGTCACTAACCCCACATAGTACGAGCACGGAAGCAAATGATGTATGGTAATCATCTCGACACTCCTCAATTCTCCAAGCTCGAAGAAAGGGGACACACGACAAACCTTCAAGGCCCAACAAACCCCTACAACACGAAGGGGCGAAAGGAGGGGACATACGACAAAGCTCTAGGCCCCTACCAAAGCTCAGGAACAGGAATCGGGGGACATACGACAAACCTCTAGGGCCTCACAATACGAGCGCGGAATCGAATTATATATATATATATATATCAGTCGTCTAGGCTCCCCAAACCCTACAAGCACGAAGAAAGGGGACACACGCAAACATCCCACGAAGGAACGAAGGGAGAGGAATTGCGACAAACCTCTAGACCCCTACCAAATCATAGGAATACGAAGCGGGGGGGCACACGAGAAATCTTTAGGGCAATCAATACTCTCATAGCGACTGCGGAAGCAAATGATATATGATAATCATCTAGACACTCCCCAAACCCTGCAAGCACGAACAAAGGGGACATACGAAAAACCTCCAGAGCGCTCACGAAACCCTTACAACACGAAGGGACGAAGGGAGGGGACAAAAGATAAACCTCTAGGCCCTTCCAACTCACAGGAACACGAAGCAGGGGGGCATACGACAAACCTCTAGGGCAGTCAATAGCCCTCACAATACGACCACAGAAGCAAATGTCTTATGACAATCATCTAGATGCCAAGAAAGGGGACACACGACAAACCTGTAGGCCCCTACTACATCACAGGAACAAGCGGAGGGCATACGACAAACCTCTAGGGCAGTCACTAGCCCCGCACAATACGAGCCCGGAATCAAATTACATATGTCAGTCGCCTAGACGCTCCCCAAACCCTACAAGCAAGAAGAAAAGGGACATACGGCAAATTTGCCGGGCTCTCACAAAACCCTTGCAACACGAAAGGACGAAGCGAGGGAACGTATGACAAACCTCTAAGCCCCTACCAAATCACAGGACCAAGGAAACGGGGGGGACAAATGACAAACCTCTATGACAGTCACTAGCCCCTCATAGTTTGAGCACGGAAGCAAATCATATATGACGATCATCTAGACTCTAGACGCTCCCCCCCAAACCCTACAAGCTCGAAGAAAGTGGATATACGACTAGCCTCCAGGGCCCTCACAAAACCCTTACCACCCATACAACCCCGAAGGGACGAAGGAAGGGGACATACGACAAACCTCTAGGGCAGTCACTAACCCCACATAGTACGAGCACGGAAGCAAATGATGTATGGTAGTCATCTCGACGCTCCTCAAACTCTCCAAGCACGAAGAAAGGGGACACACGACAAGCCTTCAAGGCCCAACAAAACCCCTACAACACGAAGGGGCGAAAGGAGGGGACATACGACAAAGCTCTAGGCCCCTACCAAATCTCAGGAACAGGAAATGGGGGGGACATACGACAAACCTCTAGGGCGATCACTAGCCCCTCACAATACGAGCGCGGAATCGAATTATATATATATATATCAGTCGTCTAGGCTCCCCAAACCCTACAAGCACGAAGAAAGGGGACACACGCAAACATCCCACGAAGGAACGAAGGGAGAGGAATTACGACAAACCTCTAGACCCCTACCAAATCACAGGAATACGAAGCGGGGGGGCACACGAGAAATCTTTAGGGCAATCAATACCCTCATAGCGACTGCGGAAGCAAATGATATATGATAATCATGTAGACACTCCCTCAACCCTACAAGCACGAACAAAGGGGACATATGAAAAACCTCCA